ATATCAAAAGTGATTACCCACACTTTTTGCAAATACTGTTGTAGAGTGGAATTGTGGGACAATAGCGAATTATGATCTGTCATAAAAGATTAAAAGACAAAATCAATCTTTCACAAACACTGCCGCAATTACTCTGGCAGGTGTTTGACATTTTGATGATTCATAAATGCAGATTCTTTTTCAGCAGTAACTAACAGGTCAATGACTCCAGTTGGTGATTTGTGCAATAAAGGAACACAATATTTTTTCATTTGCACCCTGAAAAGGGAATTTTGATTTTGTACAAAATGTATCATTAAATATAACTAGACATTCCGTGCAATAAAGGAACACAATGAGTTTACTTAACATACTGACATTGCTCAAATTATGCAAATGATTTTTGAATACGGAGAGGAACCAAATATATTGCATATTTATATTATGACCCCTAAGGGTGCATGGGGAATAGAAATATGGTCACTCTTGGTCTTCTTCTGACCGGCAGTAAAACCATTGCCAAAGAGGGACATCCGTTTGACTGTGCGGGATGTACAAGTACGCAGCCACGTCTGGTCAGAATGGAGACGTTAAATCCGATGCCTCGTGTAGAGAGAATGCCACGCTCTCTGCAGCTAAGACCCCTTGCAATAACTCTTTGAGGGGTCTGTAGGTGGCCTGTTGTTAAACTAAATTTCTGCCCCTTTCCAATCCACCCTCATTTTCCAGACCTTTAATCACAACGGCCTCTATAACAGGACCTAACGATTTGATATATATTTGATATGTTCTTGTCCTGAACATGCATGAACTAAATATCATTTAGATGGGAGCCATTTCTGTGGGCCCCGCTGTGAATAATGTGTGGTAAAAAATTTGTATCTTTATCATTGAACATGGGATTGTCAACTGAAACCGAAGTTTATGACCTTGACCTTTGACCTAGGAAGTTGTTCATACATTATGACACACCCTCTGATGTTGGTTTATATACATGTCAAGTATAAACTTTGAAATCATAACGGTTCTCAAGATATAGAGCGGACACGATCTTTACCATAGGACATGGGGTTGTCAACTAAAACCAAAGTTTTTGACCTTGACCTTTGACCTAGGAAGTTGTTCATACATTATGACACACCCTCTGGTGTTGGTTAATATACATGTCAAGTATAAACTTTGAAATCATAACGGTTCTCAAGATATAGAGCGGACACGATCTTTACCATAGGACATGGGGTTGTCAACTAAAACCAAAGTTTTTGACCTTGACCTATGACTTAGGAAGTTGTACATACATTATGACACACCCTCTGGTGTTGGTTAATATACATGTCAAGTATAGAAATCATAACAGTTCTCAAGATATAGAGCAGACACGATCTTTACCATAGGACATGGGGTTGTCAACTAAAACCAAAGTTTTTGACCTTGACCTTTGACCTAGGAAGTTGTACATACATTATGACACACCCTCTGGTGTTGGTTGATACACATGTCAAGTATAAACTTTGAAATCATAACGGTTCTCAAGACGTAGAGCGGACACGATCTTTACCATAGGACATGGGGTTGTCAACTAAAACCAAAGTTTCTGACCTTGACCTTTGACCTAGGAAGTTGTACATACATTATGACACACCCTCTGGTGTTGGTTAACATACATGTCAAGTATAAACTTTGAAATCATAACGGTTCTCTAGATATAGAGCGGACACAATTTGTGAAGGACGTACGGACGGACGGACGGACAGACTGATCGCTATAGGGCGTCCACTGTTTAATTGTACCTATTAAATATACTTTCATAGAAATTGATCCAATATCCACCCATTTTGGTGTGAATCATATCTCTGACCTTTAATTTCATAGAAATTGATCCAATATCCACCCATTTTGATACGAATCATATCTCTGGCCTTACATTGATACTGTGCTTAATTTCATAGAAATTGATCCAATATCCACCCATTTAGGTGCCAATCATATCTCTGGCCTTACATTGATAATGTGTTCTGTACACAATGTTTCGGGTTTTTTTTTCGGAATTGTGTTTATTCCAGGGAAACCTTCATATGAGACCACCCTTTTGTTTTTCTTTTCCATTTAATTCTTTTTTATTACTGTTTTATTTTTTTTTAAATAGTTTTTTTTTTTATTTATTATTATTTTTAATTTGTTAATTTAAATTTGAATTTTGATTTTTTTTGTTTTTCAAACTATTACAATAAATGTTGATTAATTTAAGTGTTCCATGGTGATGATGGTAAGAAAGTTTTGTCATAAGAATATCAGTGTACATGTGTGGTTTACATGTTGGTCATTAATTAGTTCTGCACAGTTACATATTTAGTAGAAACTGTGAGGTTTATACAAATTATTTTATAGCTGGTTTCACTAATTCACCAATGTTCTATTTCTTTTGAATCCTATTGATAGGTTTCTATGGAATCTGGCATCTATTTTCAACTTTGTTCTTTTTCTTTAATTTATATTGTCTGTCTTGGAATTAGATTTTTGATAGAATTTCTTTTACAAATTTCAGTTCATATCCTCTAATTAATAGTTTTGCAATAAATATTTTTCTGGTTTGAAATTCACTTTCAGTGTTGGTGTTTCTTAGTATACGAATACCTGGGCCTTTAATAAAGCATTTAAAGTTTGAAATGGGGGGGGGGGGGGGGGTTGAGTTTTTATGAAGAAATTGGATTTTTTTCGGTATTCTTTGTAAAGCATTTCAGGTCTAAAACACCAGTATTTTTTAAGCGTTCACCTTTGAAGATTTCAAGATCTAGAAATTTTATGGAATGATTATTGCATTTATAAGTGAACTTTAGCAGGTCGTGTTGTTTATTTGCATTTTCAAACAGGAAATCAATTTCAGACACTTTTGCTTTTACAACCAGTCATCCGTCATCTCTCATTCTTTTATGAAAAATATTTTTTTCAGAAATTAGAGATCTTTCAAGGATTGAGTATTTATGTGATTGTAAATAGCAATGTCACATATTTCAGAGGAATCTATTGCTCCAATAATTTGTCGATATGAATTTCCGTGAACATGGTGAAAGGTAAATTCATTTTTCGAAAGGATGAGTTTTGTTATTTCAACCAGAAATTTATTGTTAGGTTTTGTTATAGGATATTCAATTTCTTCATGTTTATTAAGCGGTTTTTGTAAAGCTTGTGTGATTTCCACAAATCACCTGTGTCAGAAATGTACTTTTTTTTTGGTGTTTTTTACTAATTTAAAGGGAAGTATAAGGAATAATCTAAATATCTTCCCATTCTTTCAAGGGGTCTATTACACTGTGATATAATTGGTCTACCCGGGACATTTATAGTTGTTATTTTTTTTTCAATGTTTTGTAAAATTTCACTGTCCAGTTTGTGAATTTAAGGGAGGAAGTATGCAAAAGGTGTTTTTACATAATTTTGTTCATTTTTAGTGTATTTGAAAGATATTTCATCGATACAGTTTTCTTCTTTCATTTTGTAAATTACTTCATATACTTTTTTTTTAGTGTTTTAAGATTTATCTTTTGTATTTGTTCATAATGTATGTTATCATTCAATTGTTTTTGAGAAATTTGAGAAAGTCAGCAAGATTTTGAATGACTGTTACATTGTTTTAATCCACTTTGTGAATGATATTTTCATCATGTTCTAGATTCTTGAGGCAGTTCCTTTCTTGTAGTGAAAGGTTAAAGTGTTTTTCGGTATATATCTAGATAATTCCATTTTCGTATAAGAAATGTAATTTTCAATAGGGTTATCGGCAAACGCCGGCACCAAAAAGTTTTATTTCTCCTTGAAGGGATGAATTTTATTCTGTATATTTGGATTTAAAAAAAAAAAGAATGAGTCTCAAATTCCTTTCAGTTCATTTGAAATCTTTCATTATTTGTTTTATGGATATTTTTGACATTGGAACAAAGTTTAGTCCTTTAGCAAGCACTAGTGTTTCCTGTTGTGATATTGTTTTAGGTCAAAGATTCAGTACAAATTGTTTTGCTGTTTTGAGCTTGATTTGTTGTTTATGTAATGTCATTTAATTTTTGACGGCTTTGAACTTTTAAATGTTTTAGTCTTTTTCTTGTTTTTATTAAGTCTTCTATGTTTAGGTCAGAGATATGATTCACACCAAAATGGTGGATATTGGATCAATTTCTATGAAATTATGTCCTGATGTTAAATGCTGTATAAAAGTTTAAGAAAATCAAAGATCAATCTTAGATCATTTATGATCACTTTAAATGATATAAAATCGGCTCAAGATTAATATTACTTAGAATATATTTTTTTCTCCCACATTCTTCTGTCCTATCTCCCACCCCTTCTTCCACTACTTACTCACCTCCCTTTTTAGCTGCCCCCCCTTATATATAAGTGCATATAAATGAGAGGGTGACTTAGGATAGAATTGGAACAATAGCTAAGAAAATAAGTGGGGGTATCCACTTTGATATCAATACACAGCTTGTGCCAAATTTTATTCAATTACTTACACATTCATATTTTGTTTCATGATTTGTTTTTTTACTTGCAGAAAGTTTTAACAACACTGATGAATCTTAACTAAAAATTCTATTTAGAGGACACAGCAGACAACAACAGAATCTAGGATTGTTACGTCTTACTTTCACAACATAAATGTTGCAGAATCTACAAAAATGCAATATTCTATAAACAGTAAATATATAGAAAATCAACATATCAATGATAATTAATGTCAACATAAAAGCGCTGACTACTCGGCTGGTGATTCTCTCGAAGACAATACCTCCAGTAGCAGTGGTATTGACACAGTGGTTGTAAAAATTCCTCAAAGATACCAGGCTTAAAATTTGGTAAGCAGGACAAGATTTTCTTCTACATAAGACTTATCAGTGGTGATTAAATAATAAAAGTTGGAAGGCCAAAGCAAAAACGGAGTTGAAGAACATTACAGAAAATAAACATATCAATGTATGACATCTTAAATTGAAGGCCAAATGAGCTGTAAAAAATAAGTCCCAAAACAATTTTTTTTTCAATTTAATTTGCATTGTTAACTTATTAAGATAATCCTTCTTTCTGTATCCAGGAAAACCATCTCTGATCAAAACTAACATCATCTTTCATAATCAAAACCTAAAATTAAGAAAACAATATCATCAAGGGCTTTTGAAATGCAATTTAACTATCAACTACAATACATTGTTTCTCCTTGAAGTATTGTATTCCTAAAGTGCAGTCTAAAGTCTATTTGTGAACTTATTAATTCTAAATGCCTGTACCAAGTCAGGAATATGGTAGTTGTTTTTCACTTGTTCGTTGATTGATAGGGTTTGATTTTGTCAGTTTTTATAGATTTCCCCATTTTGAATTTGCCTTAGACAGTTAGAGTAGAGTTCAATATTTGTGTTATACTTTTCTACTGTGTTTTATAATTTTTAGCTGACCAGGTCAATAGCCCCAAGTAAGATTTAACCATCACTTTGCCTTTGTTTTCTATCTATTTATTCCTCTATACATCAGTCTCGAGACAATTTACAACATCTTCTTAAAAAAAAACAGTTGGCAAATTTGAACCAAGTTTGGCAATAACAATACACGTATATTAAGATTCCTTTAAACTAGTTTCAGTACAATCAGATTAAAACTATAGCAGACAGCAGCAAACTTTGAATCTAATTGGCCAATTTTCAAGAACCTTTTCAATTAAACGGTTTAAAACCTACATAGCAAAATAGTTCTTTACTAAAGATTTATGATTGGACGACCTGCTACAAAAACGTTCCGTTAAATGTTGATCCAGCAGCAAGCATGGCAACATTGGTTGCACAAAGTTTCATTTAAAACACTATAAATAATCAAGTTTTTATCATCTTCTTTGAATCTACTTGGCCAAATTTAACCAAACTTTGTAGGAATGATGAATGAAAGATCTTCTGCAATAAATTTTCATTTATTGTTGATCATTTGAGATAGATAAATTTCAAAGGCTGTCTTTAATTCTGATTGGCCAATTTTTAAAGCCCTTCCCCTGTGAAACATAAGATTGATGATTGGAATCCTTGTATATCAATGATCATGTTGCAAACATGGTTTCATTTTGGGCACATAATTTCCATTGAAAACCTACATAAAATCATATGTTCATCATCTTCTTCTCCAAAACTTGACGTCAGTATTAACCAAATATAAAGGAGGTCTTTAACAAATTAGCTCAATCTGATCAGATGTTCGCCAGAGGAAAACTGCTTAGGGAGCTGCCATTTGATTTTTATAGGGGGGGGGGGCTAGGATGAAAAATGTTGTAATCTCTGTCCTGCCTTTTTATTTTTCACTCTATTCGGTCCTGCCTTTTTTTTTTTTTTAGTTTATCCTGACCTTTTATTTACATAAATTGTCATCCTGCCATTTTTTTTTACAAAGTGTCTCATCCTGCCTTTATTTTTTACTCAAAACTCCGGTCCTGCTTATTTTTTTTCAAATTTCATCCTAGCCCCCCCCCCCCGCAATAAAAATCAAATGGTAGCTCCCTTACTTAGAAATTAATAGGAGGAAGACACGTTATGATTTATTTTCCTGTAAACCTTCTAATAGTTCAATTATAAGTCAACGTTAACCAAACTAGAAAGGAATGATATAAAATAGGTCTTTGAAGAATTATCTTTAACTTATCAAATGACTACCAGAGGCAAACTACATTCTTATATGATCTATTTTCCTGTAATCTTCCTAACAGTTCCATTGTAAACTTCTCTGGGAATCAATATAAAGGCAGTCATCCCAAAATGTCATTTTAATATTTAAGTTAATACAAGGTTTTATGTGTCTACAGCCCCTCCAAAAAAACAAGAGGTTTAGAGGTCAGACGCAACAAACAGTTTCAACTAAAGGAAGGTGTCTTTACAATATGTCGAGCTCTAATCAACCTTAGCAGAAATAAATCTGAGTGAATTTGAAAGAGTTTGTCAAACCATGGAAGTATTATATTGACAGGAACTACTACGACTCGACTTCAAACATTTCATCTGCGATGCCGCGCACAATTTAATGACATATTAATTAACTTGAAACATGGGGCATTTTATTTACATACCAGCGTGTTGCACCCTACAAAATTGTCATTCTCTGTTACTTCAAGGAAATAAACAAAGAAATCAAAAGTAGTGATAAATTCTTAGCAAACAGCAATCCTCGTCAGATTCTGTTACCCTATCGCTGCCTATTTGTGCCAATTGATAGATTGATGGATTTGTGCGACATCATTAATTCTAGAAAACACATTGACTATGGAATTTTGTACTATATTAATTGAATAAATACACCATGTTTATTGATTTATTTTTTGGTAGAAATTGCACTTTGAATATATCGTAAGTTGTGATTAATTACTGTTTAATCCAGTGGCATACATTTCATGCATATCTAAGACCATTGTAAAATGATTGTTCTGATTAAAATAAAAAATCAAAGAGATTTTAAATAGATGTAAGAATTATAAGGCTTCGCATTAAATCCAGGGTGAGATCATTGGTTGGTATACGAATGTTTCCACTGAACCCTGGTGTGTTGAAATTATTTTATGTACTGTAACTGCAAAGTAATATTTACTTGTATCATTTGGACAGAAAGTGATAAAATATTTAATGAAACAGAGATGGTTTAGCCAATCCATAACATTTTATATGTCTTTGTTTTTTTCTCAAATTGATAAATATGGGTCAAATCATAAGTCATGATTGGCACATTTATAAATGTACAAATAGAAATACTGACACCAGCTGCATATTATCTGACAACATTCGTTCAAATATGAATATTTTAGCAGCTTCGAATTTCACAAATGCCAAAAAATTAAAACGCACATATATATATATATATAAATAACTAGGTGCATCTTTTTTTTTTACTGCATTTGTAATATATAATTTCTGAGTTATTTAGTCCTTGATCGGTTAATTTTCGCATTTAAAACTGAAAATTTCTTCTTTGCTGGCTAATCCAGGCCCTTCATTATATATGTTAATCGATTCGTCACAGTGTATATTTATATCAGGAAAATTTCGTGGCTCTGCAGTAACCAGAACACACTCTTATGACAGTTTTAACTTAACCCCTGAAAAAATAAAATAATGTCACTTACTATATTAAAACGTTGACGTTTAATTAATTCTGGGCCGATTTTCATTTTTTATGCATCAGTCAATTTTTTTTAAATAAGTTGTTTATGAATGAAATAAGCAAAGGTGCTTTCCGAAAGGTATTGATGTTAACCTGTCTTGATAAAAACTATGTGATTAATAAGAAGTATCTCTGGTCAATTTATGACCGCAGCATCACAGATAGTCACAAAAGGAAATTACGATAGCGTACTAATAGACAGTTTCCATATCTTTTCTACAGGGATCCCCAGGTTATAAATAAGAGCTAACTAATCGTTGTAGTTCTGGCAATATAATACTTCCATGGTCAAACATATGGTTTCAATACTAAAATCTTCAAATGACCAAAATAAAACATCAAAGTACATGGCAAGACAGCCACTGATGAGGTTCTTGACGTTTTTTTCTATTTCTAATTTTTTGGAATTTCAGGAAAGAAACAAATTCTTGTTAATATAGATACCATGTCCATTAAAAGAGAGAAAATACCAACTGGTTTATCTTTGTCCCCTGTTTGACTTTCATCACTTTCATCCTCTTCATCCTGATTTTGACATAAATCTTCTTTCAAGTACTGAAAAAACATGACAAAATATGTAGGATACATTGATCAATCTTATATACATTTCTTAATCACTCCCTTATAAAACACTTCAAAACAATATGACACAGTCATCATTATATATATATATATATATATGAAGGACTACTGCAGCCCTTAATTTGACATTAAGGACCACCTCGATTTTCTTCAAAGCCTCCTGGCAAACATAAATATATGATACAGCATAAATGTATGTGTTGTTTATTTCAATCGCTATTCTGTTTTTCAATAGTAGTTGTAAATATACATTATCAAAGTGGCTTGGAGAAGCCAATACAAAAGTCAGTAAAAAAGCATATGATGCCTTAAACCATTGAAAGTTATGGGTGTATATGCTTATAATAGCTAATAAAAGGTTATACCAATGTGGTATGATGACATAACTAGAGGCTCTCAAGAGCCTGTGTCGCTCACCTGTATTTACTGATGCTTTGGAAATCATGTAAAATAAGGTTAAAATCATAATTAATAGTATTAGATATTAGATATTATAATGATATCTAAGATAATAACAAAAAACTGCAAAATTTTTGTAAAATTACTAACTCAGGGGCAGCAACCCGACAACGGGTCGTGGGATTTGTCTGAAAATTTCAGGGCAGATAAATCTAAATCTGATGAACATTTTTGTCACCTGTCAGATTTGCTCTAAATACTTTAGTTTCAGAGATATAAACCAAAAACTGCATTTTACCCCTATGTTCTATTTTTAACTCAGTTGGCCATGATGGTTGGAGGGCGGGGTCATCGGACAAATTTTTTAAACTAGATACCCTAATAATGATTATGGCCAAGTATGGTTAAATTTGTATCAGTAGTTTCAGAGAAGAAGATTTTTGTAAAAGATTACAAAAATTTATGAAAAATTATTAAAAATTGACTATTAAGGGCAATAACTCCTAAAGGGGTCGACTGACAATTTTGGTCATGACAACTTATTTGTAGATCTTACTTTGCTGAACATTATTGTTGTTTACAATTTATCTCTATCTATAATAATATTCAAGATAATAACCAAAAACTGCAAAATTTCCTTAAAATTACCAATTCAGGGGCAGCAACCCAACAACAGGTTGTCAGATTTGTCTGAAAATTTCAGGGCAGATAGATCTTGACCTGATAATCAGTTTTACCCAATGTCAGATTTACTCTAAATGCTTTGGTTTCAGAGATATAAGCCAAAATCTACATTTTACCCCTTTGTTCTATTTTAAAAATGGCGGCCATCTTGGTTGGTTGGCGGGGTCATCGGACACATTTTTTACACTAGATACCCTAATGATGATTGTGGCCAAGTTTGGTTAAATTTGGCCCAGTGGTTTCAGAGGAGAAGATTTTTGTAAAAAGCTAACGATGACGACGACGGACGACGGACGCCAAGTGATGAGAAAAGCTCACTTGACCCTTTGGGTCAGGTGAGCTAAAAAAGCTGGATAAGTGTACAATAAAAAAAAAGAAACAGACTTGTCACATTATGTTACACTGGGTACTGTTATATGCTGGAAATAGATGTATCTGATAGCTATCATCAAAATAAATGGAAGAGAAACAAATCTTGTCAATTTTGTTTGTCACTTATATATTGGAGTGTGTATAAGGTGTGAAAAAATAATAAAGATCTAGCTAAGAGCTACTTGAGCAGCAGATGCCATTTAGATTTGATGAAGGTAAAAAAATTCTGTGCATCTGTGAAAGTATTATTTTTTTTATACTTTATTCTTCTCACTCACATTGAAACTTACAATAAAGTTAAAGAAAACACTACATAAAAATTTGACTCAAAATTTGGAATTTTTAGATGGGGGACCATGGAGCCCCTTGTGATAGTTGAGAACTAATAATGTAATGTCAAATAGATAGGTGTATGTTTATAAAAAATACATGAAGATAACCAAATCTGATATACATCACAGCTGTTAGACCTTTTTACCAAATTCATTAATGACCAGGACTAGAATAACTCAAATACTAATGTAAAAGAGGGACGAAAGAACATGATTTTGATTCTATCCTAACGAAAATTTTGTAAAAAATTAGGATTGGTGAACTTGCCAAAAAAATATCAGTAAAAAACAGTGAGTTCACAGACAGACTACAAAAATTATGTCAAACTCATATCTTAAACCAACTGTGATTTCTTGAAGTTTGCTTTAATTAATCTCAAATTTTCAATATTTCTAAGCTTGACTATTTTCAGTATTTTCAAATTTCACAAAACAAAAATACTTCTATAATTGATAAAAGACAGATGAGTTAAAAAACATTTTGATGTTATAACTTACCTTGGAAGCTGTTGAAATAATATGATCAGGTACATCAAATTCGGCTTGCTGCTTTTCTGTCTATAATTAGCAACATGTAGACAAAATTAGAATCTAAATCAAGAACTTCCTAACTAATTTGGGAAAATGCCTGTTTTTGGTTAATACAGCTCTGGTGAAATATTAAAGCCTCATGGAGTTTATAAATTTTTCACTATGATAATATGGCCAATGCAAAACGAAGGAACATTCTTTTAAGGATTGACCTTATTTTAAATAAAGAATGATAAATGTTAAATATCCAATTCCATGTAATAACATCATGGTGCAAGGGAAAAAAAGTTTGTACTTTTGATGCTAAACAATTTCTTTCTTTTGTTTGTGTTGTTTTTTCTAGTCATTGTCATTCAACGATCTACAATTGTTCAGTGTTTTTCTAACATCTTAAGATGAACTATAGTGAAATATGAAATTCAATAAAGGCTGTTCCATTTGTGTATTTTTTGTTGTTGATCTATTAAATAAGCTGTTATCACAGAGATATGTCTCGCCTTTTTGTAATTTTGATAATGCAATGTTGAAATTAAAATAGCAATACTTTAACATGTAAGTAATGCAAATATTCAAAGTCGATAAACCATGACTGAAGGTACATGGCTAAACAATCTCCATGGAATGAGATGTGCCAATGCTAATGCAACTGCATACCAAATACCATTGACTTATTATAAGTCGTTCCCTTTAAACAAACCTAAACACAAACATCAACTTGTAAACTATGTAAAAGTTTCAAAGTCAATGAACCATGATCAGGGGTGGGGTTATATAATCTCCATGAAATCGATACTTGCAAATGCCAATAAATTTACATACCAAATATCATTGACTTAACATTAGCAGTTCATCTTAAACTGATCTAATCACAAACTAATACATGTAAACTAAGCAAAAGTTTCAAAGTAAATAGACCATGACTGAGGGGGTGGGGCCAAATATTCTCCATGGAAATGAGATGTGCTAATGCTTAAACAACTGAACACCAATTAACATTGGCCTACCACTGACGGTTCCCCTTGAACTGACCTAATCACAAACTAATACATGTTAACATAGCAAAATTTTCAAAGTCTATAGACCATGACTAACGGGGCGGAGCCAAATAATCTCCATGGAAATGAGATATACCAATGCTTATACAACTGCATACCAAATATCATTGACCTACCACTAGTGGTTCCCCATAAATTGACCTAATCACAAACTAATACATGTAAACTATGAAAAGTTTCAAAGTCAATAGACCTTGACTGAGGGGGCTGGGCCAAATAATCTCTATGGTAATGAGATGTGCCAATGCTAATACAACTGCATACCAAATATCATTGACCTACCACTAGTGGTTCACAATGAACTAGACCTAATCACAAACTAATAAATTGTTGAAGCCGCCGCCAACGCCGGAAACAGCATACCTATGTCTCGCTTTTTGACTCCGTCAAGGCGAGACAAAAAATAGATCATTGAATAATAATGACATTTTTCCATTTGTGTTCTGATCAGATCATGCTGTTATGTCAACATCCCGTTTTATAAAAGATGAGCTTCAAAACGAAAGTAAAAGTTTCTAATCAGACTGTATGTTATATCAATATCCACTGATGTTTCACACTTTTAACGATGCACTGTAAGTTAACAGAACTATCAATATTCAAACTAATGTCAGTTCACAGAATCCATATCAAAAGCTTAAGTATGAAGTGATCATTTTCATGTCATTTTTCTTTGTTTCCCCAATGGTTACCTGATTGCCTAATTAAGTTTCAAAGTCTTAAGAGATTATTAATTAAAAACAATTTTGTAATAACAAAATCCTAATAAGTTTAAAAACTGGTTTGAAAAAAAATGTTCGGCTGACTCAATTCCCTGTTCTATAATATGTGATTTTCTAGTTTCGAAAATAAAGTTGATGTCAAGATTTCCATCATCCATTACAACTTCTTAACATTGATTTTTTTGGTCTTCAATGTGGATAAACATTTTCTTTCATCTTCTGTGTCTTAGGCAACAGCATTTTGTCAGAACTTAAGATAATTTCGAGCTGATATATGGGAACTTCATGTTTATCTCAATATGTCATTTTTGGGGGCTGGGGGTAGGGTATATGGAGGAAAATGCATTGCTTGGATGATATTTCATCAATATAAGCATGAAATTAAATGTTCCTTAGAGATTTAATAAATAACTACCTCCTTCAGTATGTTGGTCAGTTTGGCTTTGAAGAATGAACTAGAATTTCTTATTATATTTATCAGTAGCAACCTGAAACATAATTAAACTATGATAAACTCAATTATAACTTATATGCATAACAATACTACAAATTTCATAATATTTTTTTTATATTTTTTTCCCTTGGCTTGACAACTGTGTGGTTTTGATACCTGTATTCATATTAAATATACCATTTTTTTTTTTACAAAATTTTACATAATAAGGTCTCATTCCTGATAACTACAAACATTATTTTCAAACACTCCATAAGCAGTTTATAACACAAGTAGGTATCCTTGATTGTGAATACTGCTGAAAATTTACAAATTTCACAACCTTGAAAATCTACAAAAATTCAAAAATAAGTATTCAAAGTCTTTTGCCCATTTGTCAAATAAATGCATGGCAAAATATTCAAGGAAGTTTGCACTGCAGGTATTTCGTGGAAAACTGAAGAATTATTTAATAACCCCAAAATTATGCCCTCTTTTTTTCTCAAGCGAACACATCTGCCAAATAATGAATAATCATCATACTAAACCAATGAAACTGATTAATGTGACTGAAAGATTATGTATTAATAGTTATAGAATAATCAAGTCAGTATATGTTAGTTATACTGCATAGCTTGTGTGATCATTCTTGACCCAAACAGTATCAGGAGTTCAGGTCAATAGGTCATCTAGCTGTGCAGTACAATGTATAACTAACATATACCAATTTGATTTGGAGAAATAAATTGTCAATCAAATAAACTTGTGCATGAAGAAGACATTGTCAATTCACAGCTCCTTTTAAATTTTTTCTTCTATATAGACGGGTTTATTTATAATTGACCTAGAAAACAAGGGCGCATCCATTAACCTCTCACATGACCGATCCGCCATGACAACCATGAATAAAATGCTTCGCTGAGCCAAGCTGGATACGACCGCAGAGATCCCAACCCTGAACAGTTGGGGAGAAATAGGACACAATATTCACGCTTGATACAGGTCTGAATTTGGATTGTAATTAAATATTTGACACATAATAGGTTTCTGACACCGAATAACTGTAGTCAAAGAACTTAGAATTGGTTATATGATTTGAATTCATATTCAATTTTTTATCAAAAATCTGAAATGAAAAAAAAATTGCCCCCCACAATTTCTTTTTTACCCCCATCCCCCCCACTTTTCTCTCAAGATATGGTCATAATCTCAATTCAAATTTCCAATGGAGTTTGCAACCATAATTACCAATTTAAATACATCATAAAAGTCTTAAATAGGTAATTTAAAAGCAGTGTAAGGGATGTAATCCAACATTGTACAATTTTGTTTTTGGATTACCTCCCTTACACTGCTTTTAAATTGTCCATTAACCAGGAAACCCTTGTTTTTTCCCTTTTTTGCCCCTAATTCCTAAACGGTTTGAGCCATAACCCCCCAAAGCCAATCCTAACCATCCCTTTGTCGTATGGAAACTTGTGGTATAATTTCAGAGAGATCCAAACACTTTTTTTGCCCCTTTCTGGCTCCTAATTCATTAACTGTTGGTACCATAAGCCCCAAAATCAATCCCGACCTTCCTTTTGTGGTATTGAACCTTATGGTAAAATTTCATAGAGATCCATTCACTTAAACTAAAGTTATTGTGCGAAAACCAATGTGTCTTTGGAAGACGACGACGTCATACCAATATACGACCGCAAAATTTTTTTGCGGTCGTATAAAAATAACGCACGTGTATGATCAAAACAGTATCGATTTTCTGTTTACATTTGTACTTCCTTCATTTTCTTATCTATATATACATAATGGATACTGCCGAAAGTTATAAAAAAGGTGGAGGCATTTCATGTGCAGTTAATAGTTGTACAAATAATCGTAGAAAATTTCAGATGTTGAAAAAATCAATAAATAAAATATGTGAATTATGCAAGTTTGCACACAATCCGTTTTTTTTTTTAATGAAACTTGTCAAGTATGAAAGTAAATCTTCACTGGCAGACGAATGTTGACGCGCCGTCATACGACTGTTAAAAACTTAAATTATCTATGAAAATTAATCTGATGACTACAGTTCATCTGCCTCTGTCTGTATAGAATATCTACACATCAGATGTGGATCCAGGATTTTGAAAGGGGGGGAGGTCCCCAAACAAGACACAATTTGTAGTGGAAGCGGAAAAAAGTCTTGATTAACCATGAATGAAGCTTCATAAGGGGGCCCGGGCACCCCCCTAAATCCGTTCCTGTACATTTCTTTAGATAACAACAATGAAACCTACGGCCCGAGGCTACACGCTTGAAGTTAGAATTGGATGCAAATCAACCAAGTATGAAGAGACAAGCTTTTTTTATACATGAGGACTATCTTTATGCTGCAAAACATTAACTCAGACAAACATATTGTTAACAGCTAGAGAAGTAAGGAGTTCAAAGTTTGATAAAAGGGGGAAACCACGTCAGCGTATAGACATATTATGAATGACAGTTACGCCTTATTGTGTTCTTATGCAACTAAGTTTTCTTTAATTTACTGGAATTACAACATAATTAATTTTTAACTGTGATATTGCAGATCAGCTGTTGCTCGATCGTACTGATGAGGTTAACATTTAGTCGATATTTGGTTATTTGGGATGGTGCTTTCATATTTCGATAAAGTAATGCTTGTAAACTATTTTATTCCTGGGTGTCAGTTCTTGCTGAAAAACATAAAGGATTTACAAACAGCTGCAATCTTACACAAATCCCAGCAAAACTTTCTATTAAGAGCACTTATATAAACCTCGTCTTAATCATGTTAATGGTCCATATAAATCAAAATGTGCATCTTTTTTTATAATGACCCATATGAAGGCATGTGTGCTTAAAGTATATATTCACTTTGCTGTCTTTATACAACATTTACAGTATTTTCTGTTGAAACTTGATTTGAACTTTCCTCAGTCGATTATTCTGTGCATGAATTATAAAATTTTACACATTAGGAAGGATTTTTTAAAGGTCTTGGTAATCAAATAGTTTACCAGAACCTTAGGAAGGGTAGCCATAATCCAACGATCCGAAATTCCGACAGTTCAGTAGTCCGATGGTCCAATATACATCCCTAATGTAATACAGTAATACTATATTTCACTGTATTATATACACTGGGGACTGATTCAGGATGAAAATATACGAGACCTCTGTTTTTGGCTGAGGGGGAGTTGGCAAAACACAAAATGATGCTTTTAAAAAATATAACTAATCATTGCTTTTAATTTACACGTTTGGGTCTTTTGTGGTTTAATGACATTCATTTATTTTTAGCACGGGCTGGAGCATGATTTTATACTATGCATACTAGCTAGTAGTTTAATGTCAAGTAATTTTTCTGCAAAAGAAATTGGAATCGAACACCTAATAACTAAATTCATGCGGAGACGAAAGTGATACGAAAACGTCACTCAGTTATGAGCAGTATACATGAGTCGAACCACTAGCAAAAAATCATTTCTGTGAAAAAGTTTATCATCAAACGGTACATGTCTATAGGTATATATTTTTTCATAAGATGTAAGTAACCGCACCCTGGAGAAAACGGGCTGTCGAATAATAGGACCGTCGGATTAGAGGATTGTTGAATTTTAGGACTGCCTCATTATACATGTATAGGTCTGACCACAGAATGTTCTATGAGTTTGATAAAATTGTTTTTTCTGATATATCACATTCGACCCGGCAAGACAATTTAATGTATTTATGTATGTGTTATAATAATCAATATTATGATACCAAATGATTATAATCGATATTTAACCTGGAATTAGTATTCGTATATATTGTGTCCCGGGTGTAATGTATCAAATACTGTGAGTTATATTTTAAGGACACGACACCTGGCCTGCAATACACTTATAATTTTAATGTCCATTCCTTATCTAATTACTTTATTATGTATTCTATAATTTTTGCCGAGGTCACATTCTTATGTTTACTGTAACTACATACGGTCTGGGAAATAGATGTATATCTTGTTTACATTTTTTCACTGTTGTAATGGCGATTACTACTACGAGGACGCCTAGAAGTCACGTCACAAACTAAGGCTGATAATTGGAAAAACCTGTTTATAGAAAGGGAATAGCTGCCTTTATAAGTACTGTAGTAAAAGGTTGGTTACTTTTAAATTAAAAACTTTTTTTTATTTTCAGGCTTTATCTTACTATCATGGTCAAATAATTTGATTAATTGGGTTTTAATGACAGGGGTTTCATTGTTTATATAGATTTGGAACAATTTAGAGCTAGAAATATTTTGATGACATCTTCCTGTTACTGTGAACTGTATGGTCTCACCTCTAAATGTCCTTTTGATTATTTTCTTCTTTGGATTGATGTCTCATTGAGGTATTATGTACATCTTTTCATTCATATAGTGGTTTAAGTTCAATTTGATGTACATCAAAATAGGTTCATGAAAAATCATAACTTAAAGGGTTATTGAGCATAGAGTTATTGCTTTTCTTTTTTAAAGAATATATACAGATGATGATTAATCGAAGAGAGGTGTGCCTTAATTTGTTAGACAAAATGAAACTAAAAAAACCTACTATGTGTCGTTATATATATATTCAAAACCCCTCTATTTTTCATCTGTATTCGACAATCAATTTTGAAGACATGCTGCATTTAAACAAAGTCTACTGGTATTTGTCATAAATATTTTTCCAGTTTAGAAACATTATTGAAATATGATCCTAATTCAATTTGCTCCCAAATCGTCACTCAATAGGACTTAATATCTAAAATTTCGTAATAAATTCCATTGAGCAAAACTGTCTTAAACTTACATTTTTCTTCAGAAGTTACAAAAAATAGTTATCTAGTTTGACCTGATGACTCTGATTTTCATATTTACATTGTACAAAAGAACACAGAAACAGTTCCTAGTTTTAGGAATGAGCCATTCTCCTGTTCCTAACAGTTTTACAAACTTTATTTTATTTCATATTTCAAAATGATTCAGTTGATTGCAAGGCAAGAGTACATTTGAACTGTGCAGTATATCTGAGGTATAATGCAGATGTGAGTTAATGCACAGCTTTAAAAAGAGATCTTGCCTGTTTCATGTTTTAACAACAATTATAGTCAGAAAGAAAATTAAATTTGTCAGCAGTAAAAAATACCTGGCTCTGATAATACATGACAATCTTTTCATCCTGAGATATTCTGAGTTGTGATTATTTTGTTCAATCTTAGTTAGGTAGCAGTGACCTAATTTTATCCATAAACTGTAGGTAAATGGATGCATTGTCAGCAAGTGCTTCAAACTTTCTTCTAATCCTGAAAGAAGACAAATACTCACATTCTGACATAAAGTTATAACGAAGGATTGATTAATTTTCCTATTCACCTGGCCTAAACAAACAATTGACTAATCTTTTGGTATTGACGCTTTTCTACACTTTAACTTACAAAGACACAAGCGATTTCTTTGCAGAGGTCAATTTCTATTCAAAAATTAATTTTTGCATGCATAAAAAGATATATAAGGTCAATATTCATGAGACTGCATGCAACTAAAAAAAAAAGTTTACAACAAAAAGAGGAAGGTCCAGTACTCATTAAACAGATTAAAATCTCCTCATCAATATGCCTCTCACATGTCAAGACACCTCCTTATTGTCTTTAAATGGAGCTGTTACTTTTTATTGAATTGTTTGGTATAATCTTGAAAAAAACATAGAAATCTTAAGGATGACTGAAATTGTAAAATGAATACTTGTAGGGGTTATAACTCTTTTATGACTTAACCTTTTTTTGTAAGTTCTCAGTATTGATCTGAATAAAACCTTGTTGAAGTCATACAAATGGTGTAAAGAGGACTGTCACAGTTGCTAAATGTTTAATGTTGCATATTTTTTGCCAGGTGAGCAATAAATTATTCAGACTCTTGTGACTTCTTCTTAATGTTGAATAATATCTTGGCGTTGAATTAAACATTGCAAAAATAGGTAAACTTGATGATGGGTCCTACCTTCAGTATCTTGCATCTTGACCTGTATTTGACTTAATAGTAAATTTGTTTGCATGATTTGATCAGGAGATTTGGCATCAGATACCTGTAACATTAAGATTATAATTAATATCGACATCACCTTTCGTTTAAGTTAATTTATCTCATTTAATGACTTGGTTTATCTCATCTAATGACTTGATTTATCTCATGTAATGACTTACTTTGTTTAATGGCTTTTTTTTTTTATTAAATGACTTATATTGGTAATTTATGAGTCTTATGTAGACGAAACGCGCATCTGGCGTATTAAATTATAATCCTGGTACCTTTGATAACTACTTACACCACTGGGTCGATGCCGCTGCTGGTGGACGTTTTGTCGCCAAGGGTATCACCAGCCTAGTAGTCAGCACTTCGGTGTTGACATGAATATCAATTATATGGTTATTTTTATAAATTTCCTGTTACAAAACTTTGAATTTTTCAGAAAACTAAGGATTTTCTTATCCCAGGAATAGATTACCTTAGCCGTATTTGGCACAACTTTTTGGAATTTTGGGTCCTCAATGCTCTTTAACTTTGTACTTGTTTGTCTTTATAATTTTTTTGATCTGAGTGTCACTGCGTCTGGCGTATTAAATTATAATCCTGGTACCTTTGATAACTATTTACAACTATCTTGAAATTGAAAATAATAAATTAGAATTCATTCGTTATCAAAAATAAATGATACTATCAGTAACCCATCCTGTGAAAACAAATTGCATGGAAATCTATCCACCATAAAAATAGTTTCATGTCAAATGCACAAACATAAATGAACCTTTTTAAATATGATAGTCTATAAGTAAACAGATCTTAACATTAAGAAAGCTGTTTCATATTGACAATGATTGAGGACTGTTCTAGAAATGTGTGTTTAGGGCATTAGAAAACCAGAATGAAAAGTTACTGAATAAAACTTGTGTCCAAAGAATGATTAAATTCAAGAGATAGATCATATCACATAGAACTTTTATGTATGACCCATGCCAATCCTGACATACTGTGGATTCATTTATTTTCGTGGGTACCAATTTCGTGGATTGCGAAAAATTTTCCTTTTCGTGGATATGTGATTTTGTGGTTTTGTCAAAGACTGAATGCAACCTGATATAAATTTGTATTTCGTTGAACATTTAATTTCGTGGTTCACCTGTACCCACGAAAACCACGAAAATTGGTATCCAACGAATAAAAATGAATCCACAGTAGCTAAAATCCAAATATTGTGTTACTACTTCATAAACAAACTAAGTCAATAAAACTTGTTTCTATCAGACCAGTTTTATCAGTCATGTATCCTACATATTTAAGAAGCTACCGAATGATGATAGAGAGCACAATATGCAGAGTTTGTTTTTGCTCTTTTTCTTAATCTTCATGTTTAGGAATAGAAATAAGAAAAGCCCACTTATGTATGTACTTTACTGCCAAAATTTCTACAAGAATTTTGTTTATTTAAAGCCTCCGTGAAAGTTACAGCATTCTAATAAATATAAGATCATTTAATTCCATTTCAAAGACAATCATTTGGCAACTACGAATGTAAGGAAGAACGTTAAGCTCTATCACTAATAAACAATATGTTGTACCAGTAGTTGCTATCTTTGGTCTGAGATGGTCTTGCTTAAATATTTCTTTTTCATTATAGTACTAAATTAAACATACAAATACCAGTTCACAGATATTTTTTTCCTAGCATATTTTGTGGTGTTTTATCATCAAGAATTTTTTTTTTAAACTTTTAGGTGTATTCATGTCAAAGAAGATTCAAGTACTGTAAATTTAGAAATTTTTGCGATGTTTTTATTATTGTGGAAATTGCATGGAGATAGTTGTCACAAATAGTTGCTGTGAAAGTACTTTGCAATTTCCTTCAATCGAGACAATTTGTAAGGCCACACCAATTTGATTAATAGTTCTTTGGATTTTCCCGCTCCTGTTTTGGAGAAATTGACTTTTCAATAAAAAAAAAAAATTACCGCTTCCGACAATTTTTGGGCCGCATGCCGCTCCAAAATTAGTTTATCCTTGACATTTTTTTTCTCTTAGACGTTTTTCTCGTACATATATTGCTCCGAGTGATTCAAACACATGTGTGATAAATCGAGTTATAAATAAAAGGTCAAAAATCGGGATGCCAACATGAAGTTGTGTCAGATCATTGCCGAGGACATGTAGTTATTAAACACAGTTATTTGAAATGCATTTCGTTTCACCTGTTCTAGGAGACAAAAATAAAAAATCTTTCGTTAGATGACCACGATCACATCAGTACTTGTTAGAACCATTGTCATCCCCGATCATTGTTTCAACAGACATAGTCCGAGATTACTCCGACGTCCAACAGCTGTTTGCCAGAAAAGATGGGGGGCTGTTGTCCCACGGCCCAAGCTTGTCTGGCAAAACAACAATTGGACGTCAGAGTAATCTCGGACTACAACAGACATAGGTATCTAGAGCTATCTGTCTTGGATGAAATTAATATTAAATTCACATGAACTTTTGAAAAATGACAGATTTATCTTATTTTAATGAAAACTCCATATCCCCTTGTTAGTCTATTGACATGCAATCAGAACTCTTTTGTAAGGGAAAATTTAAGAGTTCCAACATTCGAGACCAAAGTGGTGGTATTGGGATTGGCATGCTAATAATAATTAGGGATGTGTTATTGGTGCAACCACTTCCAGTTTGAAATACATTGCAGGATTCAGGGGAAAAAGGAAAAAGTATTTTGCTAAGTCAGAATAATGCATGTGAATGTGGTTAAATGTATTTTAAGGGAATAGATATAGGGAGATGTGGTATGAGTGCCAATTAGACAACTCTCCATCCAAGTAACAATTTATAAAAGTAAACCATTATAAGTCAAGGTATACGGCCTTCAACACGGAGCCTTGGCTCACACCGAACAGCAAGCTATAAAGGGCCCCAAAAATTACTAGTGTAAAACCATTCAAACGGGAAAACCAGCGGTCTAATCTATATAAAAACGAGAAACGAGAAACACGTATGAACTACATATAAACAGACGACAACTACTGTACATCAGATTCCTGTCTTAGGACAGGTGCAAACATTTGCCGCGGGATTAAATGTTTTAATACATTGAGATCTGCATGCATAGCAATATAATTATCTTACTCAGGATGTTGTTGATATATTCACCTCACTCATTATGTTGATCCTATTATGGATAAATAGTTCCAACTGGATGTCAAGCAGCCAATAAACAATCATTACCATATAGTTAAAACAACTATATCAAAAGATATTAAATATTTTTCATGGGCATTTTTTTGGAATACATACACATCATACACATATTTTAATTGTATTCAACACATTTCATTTACCTAACTAACATAATTCCTGTTGTTTAACTGCATCTGATATGCTTCCTTAATATATACACATGTATGAATTTAAATGAAAATTCACGCAGTCAAAGCTTAATTGACGAAAATAATCAAAATTATACTAAACCAAAGCCAACCAAAAAGTTGGGTATGGTACAGACTGTACTACAGGCACAAATACATCAACTTATATGCATAAGAGCATGTTTATCCTCCTTTTTCTTTGAAGTAACCCAGTTTTAACATGTACAAATATTCTAAATCGCACAATTTAAAAAAAAAAAAAATATACCGCTCGCTCCACTTGTAGAGCACCCGCCTCAACAAAACTCATTTTCAAGAAATAAATACAATCAAAAAAATTTCGCTCGCTCGCCCCATATTTTTTGGAGCTTTTGTCCGAAGAACTAAAAATCAAATTGGTGTGGCCTAAGCATAGATGAATCAGCATATTTCCGATTGCAATTATTTATTAGAAAACTAATATAAAATCCATGAATTTAAGAACCCATGAACATGTAACTTTTGCTCAAACCACAAAAAATTGATAACCATGAATAAAAGTACACTCGCAGTAAACTTGCATTTTTAATTTGGATACCATTATAAGTATGTAGCATTTCCTGAAATTAAAATAATCAAACAATCACAAACTCTTGAAACTCCTAAAAATACTTTGCTTGGACAAATAAGATAGTTTATAATAGTCTTACCAATTGTTGAGCTATATCTAAAGCTTCTGCATATTTCTCTGTATGAAGATAACATCTTGCCAAACATTCCATAATGTCTTGTCTTAATGTTTTATTGTTCGCAGGTAAGCTATCTGAATAAAATAATCTGACAGTAAATGTCTTCTGTAATTTAATGATGTAAATTAGAAGAAATTATGAATACTCATGATTCTGAAACATACCAAGGGATATCATGGTTATCATAGTAATGAAATCAAAGAAAATCATTTTTTTTCCTGAAATTTTAGAGAAAACAAAAAATTGAAATCTCATGCATTTTTATTCTGCAAACCCTACAAAATACATTATCCCTGCAATATAAACAAAAATTATTTCTTTGTAGCTTTTAAATGTTTTTGTTTGATATACGGTAAAAACCAGAATTATTACGACAATTGTGTTCATGTTTTAAATATAAATAGCCTGATCGTGAAATTTCATTTACAAAGAGAGTTGAAAGATATACCAAAGGATTATTCCAACTCATAAGTCGAAAATATAATGACAACGCCATGGCAAAAAAAGAAAATGACCAAAAGAAAAACAACAATACACAAAACACAAGATAGAAAGACTGAAAATGTGTAAATAGACAATTACAGAAAATTTCTTTTTCTTTTTCATCATAATTCCTTAAGTTTTTTTTTATCATTTTGGAACAACTGTTTTAAACATACAACTTTTTTGCATGTCATCATCACAGATCAAAATTTATAGACCCATCCAAACAGGAAAGACAGTTAATTAAAGTAACAAAAAGATACCAAACAATTGGATAAATCCTATTTCATAGATTACAAGTACAAAAAAATTTGTCCCCTTGGATATACAAAGAGGCCTTAACTGGTTAAAAAGGAGGAAATCAATATCCGAGATCCCATTAAACTTGGTAAATGCATTGTCTTTCCCCATTGGACAGGTTTATTTTGTCTATGACGATGATATATATATCCATTGTATGTTTTTAAACAGTTGTTTAAAAATGTTTGGAAATGTTTGAAAATGAAAAAAAAAACAAAAACTTAGTGTAATAAAGTAAAAATACACAGTAAAGCTGTACACATACTGTAAACCAACTTATTTTTGCGGATACTTTATTTCACATTTAGCCTTTACTAGCCCACTTCGCGACGATTTAATTTCACGATTTTCAAATTTGCTTTATGTAGTTAAATGAGGAAAGAACCAAGAATTACATATTCGCGACAATTTATATTCACGTTATTTTTCTACTCGCGAAAGACACGAAAATAAATCGCTCATGAAAATTAGTTGGTTTACAGTAAATCTCTAGCAGGAATCATCACATTTAAAAAACCCTGGTCTAATGGAAAAGTGTTAGACAAAAGAAAGAGACATAAAAGGGTCAAAATATGGTCAATAACAGATACCTGTAAACTTGACCAAAACTATGGACAGACTATTTTATATATATATATGTGACAAAGGGACAGACAGTTGGATGCACAGACAAGAAAACATAATGCTGCTCTACTTTAGTAGACAGAGCATAAATATAACCTCGCTTTGCAATCCTTTTCAATGAAATTCCCATTTCTCAATAATAAGTTTTTAAAAAGTTCAATCTTATACTTTCTCAACATTAATAAGTACAGATGAATTTAATAATGAAATACATTTTACTTTGAAAAGAATAATCCTCCTAAAAATCTTTATAAAAGTTAAAAATTTTCACAGCTCAATTGTGTAAAATTTTAGACTAGACTTCCTAGGATTTATTGAACCTAATAAAGTTATAATACAATGTACCTAGTCCTTCTTTGTATGAGTCTATCGCCTCTGTGTACTGTTTCTGATGGTACATATTATCCCCCCTGAATTTGTAAACAATGCCAGCATTTTCTGGTTCTGGTGTTGCAGTTTTGTACCACTAAAATGAATATTCATCAGACTTTTAAAATCAAAAATACAATTGAAAATTCAGTTTCTAGCTAATGATCATAACGTACATAACAAATGGAATTGTCAGAAATTAGTTTAGTGTTAGTAGACAGGTAGATATATATGTTAAAGCAAGCAATAATTATGCATGCTAATAGATGAAATGTGTATTTAATTGATTAACAGTGGTTCTATTGAGCCATGTAAATATCAGAAAATCACAGGGAATCATAATGAAATAGAATAATTTCTGGGAATTGAGAGAGATAAATACAGTATTTTTTTTATGTTTATTGTCATTTAAGTTCTCAGTTTTATATACAATGTACATGATATACAAGTAAATTGTACGTGTAATACAATCAATGGCAATCCTGCTGTATCATCCATCCGTGATGATATCAATATCAGTGGCGATTGGCAATGGTTTATATATCAAACCCTTAATCTGTATAATTTCATGTCATCAATATCAGTCAGAGTTGCAAAGGCTTTATCAAACCTCTGCAATGCTCTAATCTGTATTATGTATTAAGTCGTGTCATGTGAAAAACATCTATTTGAGGTAGATAATAAAGTGTAACATACTTGTTTTTGGTTCATTATTTTGTACATAAATTAGGCCACTAATTTTCTCGTTGGAATTGTTTTACATTTGTCATTTCTGGCTTTTCATAGCTGACTATGCGGTATAGGGTGTGCTCATTGTGAAGGCCATGCAGTGACCTATAGTTGTTAATTTCTGTGTTATTTGATCCCTTGTGGAGAGTTGTCTCATTCGCGATCATACCACATCTTCTTATTATATATATATGATATGGCTTTTTCAATATCATGCACTATATCAACCCTCAACTAATATATTCCATTGATCAAAGCTCTTGGGATTATGTTTGAGTCTTGGGTTGATACAGATGTGATATTGAGAAAGCCATATTATATTCTCTATCAATTAGATGCCTACATGTATTGAAATTTTTTATTTTTCTAAAGTTGTTCCACATCATAGCATTCTTTGTAATCTGGTAAAAGTTTTAGACAAAGCTTACAAAAAGACATAAACATGAACAAAAGTTTTAAATGATCCTTGTGCAAAATCAACTCTTGTGATTCAATATACAGGTATGGCCTGATGTCAGAACTTACAAATTCATTACAAACTTTTGCATTGTATGATTTCTTCTTGTCATTTTCATTCTCTTTCTTCGATTCAAAATCTTCATCGTCAAATTCTAAACCAAGATCCATTTTAACTGTAACATAATACAAATGGCATATAACTGAAACAAATATGTACATTTAATGTTTATATCCAATTGCATCTATCATGTTAATCTGTGTTAAATAATTTCCTGATAAAAAGTTTGTTGGTACATGTAATTGGAAATTATTCAAATTAAACTTTACTTATCATGCTTATGACTTCATTCAGTTAACAATATTTAGTTTGAAACAAAATGAAATGAGCAACATATACATTTTGTAAGAAATTGGTGCCTGTGACATATTTTTATTGCTCTTTTTTAAAGTTGATTTTTTGTGGATGTCTCAGTAAATTTTGTACATATCTATACTATTAAACGAGAAGACCTCATTTTGTGTGTCGCTTCTCTTCCTTTCACAATGAATTAATCATCATGCCTCTGTGTCCTATAGGTACCATGCATAGTCGCATTTGTCATCCTCGCTTATGATTATTCAGCTTGGGTTATTTTGGGAGGAAAACGAAACTAGATCTCTAAAGAGCCTGTGTCGCTCACCTTTGTCTATGTGCATATTAAACAAAGGACACAGATGGATTCATGACAAAATTGTGTTTTGGTGATGATGATATGTTTGTAGATCTTACTTTACTGAACATTCTTGCTGCTTACAATTATCTCTATCTATAATGAACTTGGCCCAGTAGTTACAAAATTTATGAAAATTGTAAAAAATTGACTATAAAGGGCAATAATTCCTTAAGGGGTCAATTGACAATTTTGGTCATGTTGACTTATTTGTAGATCTTACTTTGCTGTACATTATAATTATTGCTCTTTACAGTTTATCTCTATCTATAATAATATTCAAGATAATAACCAAAAGCTGCAAAATTTTCTTAAAAATTACCAATTCAGGGGCAGCAACCCAACAACATGTTGCCTGATTGGTCTGAAAATTTCAGGGCAGATAGATCTTGACCTAATGAACAATATTAAACGTGTCAGATTTGCTCTAAATGCTTTGGTTTCAGAGATATGAGCCAAAAACTGCATTTTACCCTATGTACAATTTTTTAGCCATGTCGGCCATCTTGGTTGGCAGGTGGGGTCATCGGACACATTTTTTAAACTAGATACCCTAATGATGATTGTGGACAAGATTGGTTAAATTTGTCTTAGTTATTTCAGAGGAGAAGATTTTTGTAAAAGATTACAAAAATTTCCTAAAAATGGTGAAAAATTGACTATAAAGGGCAATAACTCCTTAAGGGGTCAACTGACCATTTTGGTCAAGTTGACTTATTTGTAGATCTTACTTTGCTGAACAGTTTACAGTTTATCTCTATCTATAATAATATTCAAGATAATAACCAAAAACGGCAAAATTTCCTTAAAATTACCAATTCAGGGGCAGCAACCCAACAACGGATTGTCTGATTCATCTGACAATTTCAGGGCAGATAGATCTTGACCTGATAAACAATTTTACCCCATGTCAGATTTGCTCTAAATGCTTTGGTTTCAGAGATATAAGCCAAAATCTACATTTTACCCTTATGTTCTATTTTTAGCCATGGCGGCCATCTTGGTTGGTTGGCCAGGTACTTGGGCACATTTTTTAAAATAGATACCCCAATGATGATTGTGGCCAAGTTTGGTTAAATTTGGCCCAGTAGTTTCAGAGGAGAAGATTTTTGTAAAAGTTTACGGATGACGGACGCAGGACGACCGATGCCAAGTGATAAGAAAAGCTCACTTGGCCCTCTGGGCCAGGTGAGCTTAAAAAAGGCATCCAGATATTGTTTCCATCATAGGACAGACTTTTAAGTCATAGAAAAGACTTCCGTTTAGGACTGCTTTAAAATTACCCACAGTACTTGGGGACAGGACAATTATTTTCGCTATTTTTCTGTATACTATATATCATGTATATGATCATACATGTACATATACTATAAATAAAGTGTATTTGCTATTTACTATCAATTCCAAGTTTACTATCCACGGCAGTCACTCTCTATATAATATATCAGTGACCGTCGTGGATAGTCTCTTAGTCGATATAATATATCAGTGACCGCCGTGGATAGTAAACTTGGAATTGATAGTAAATAGCAAATACACTTTATTTAAAGTATATGTATGTTCAAAGTATACAGAAAAACAGAAAACAAAAAATAACGGACTTTGGAAAAAAGGGGGAGGGCTAAAAGAAATTGTCCTGTCCCCAAGTACACATGAAGTACTGATGACTTTTGATACCTTTCCTGAAATTCTACAGTCATAAATCTTTTACAAAAATTCATCCTACAACAGTTTACATACTTTCAATTACGCTCTAATGCCCGCGATTTTGCGGGTGTGTTCTAGTTTAATATATATTTGTAGATGTATTTATAGCTACCAGTACATGTATGTTGAATTTGAAAGATGTGCATATTAAATGGCAAATACTAAAAAAACCTGAATTGATTAGTCTTTTAAAAAACCTATTTTAAACTGCTTTTTATTTTTCAAGTCTCTGAATTTATCATTACCCATACCAAGGAATGAAAACGAGTAAATTTTTGGTAAAAATATTGACAAGAAGCATGTTTTCAGCTAATTTTAGATAGCGACCAGATAAATCTAATGATAACAGGACTCAGCTAGTGTTATCAGGACGCATCCAACGGACACAGGGGTTCATAAAATGCGCATCCTGATCCAGGACATGTATACCTGCCTCAAAGAGAACCCTTGACTGACATTTCTTCCTGCTGACTGCTACCTTGTGAACAAGCATTTTGAAATTAAGCACAGCATATCGGTCTAGAACAAAGCAGTGTTTATATTCATATCACATTTTAATTATCTAGTCCTGAATTTAACACTGGTCGCTCAATCAATCAATCCTTTTGTTAATGGTCAAGCACAACATAAACAAATAAGAAGCTATACAACACAGATGCGCACGACTTGTATTACATGATTATAGAAGAACTAGCAGTGTAACATCAATGCTACAGGCACTAAATTTGAAGACACTACAGGAAAGGAGAGCTCAATGTAAAGTCATTATGTTTTATAGACAGAATGATAGAGTAGTAGACAAACTGATTGCCATACCATCAACAAATTCACAGCCAATAACATCAATAGAAAGAGATTCATATTTCCTTTTGCCAGGACTCGAGTTTATCGTTTTTCCCAGACACCATCAGAATATGGAATGGACTGCCACAACAACTAGTAAGTTGCACAACCCTTGAATCATTTAAAAGGGGTGTGCAAGAGGGGGTGGGTCTTTTCACCTCCGAACACCACCAAACACCCAAAAAAACCATCAACCACTGAGAAAATCAGTGATTTTATACAATAAAACTATAAAATCAATTACATTACATCTAATTAAACAAATTTTTAGATGTTTATATGCATCATTTTTCTGTTAAAGTCGATTATAAATATAATCCATATAAAGAAAAACGTCTCCGGATTCATCACTATTTTTCCGGATTACATTGTGTGTGTATAAGAATCATTTGACATCAATTACTGATGAAGGATATTAGTTACCCGAAATATTTAACATTTGTTCATGTCTCTTTTCTTGTTATTGGTACAACTTATTTATAAAAGAAGAAAATAAATGAAGAAAAAAAAATATTTGAGGTGTCCAGTGGTGGTTTGCAGAGTTGTAGTGTTATAGACTCCTTTTCTGTTCGATGTAGATATTCGTTCTCTTAACCTTATTATTTGTTGAATTAATAACTTAAATATTATATTTAGGTCACATTTATAACAATAAGAGTTAAAAAAAAAAAAAATTTGGGGGTGTTCGGTGGTGTCCTGCAGTGTGCGGTGGTGTAAAGACCTACCGTGCAAGAGGTCCAGCTTCAATAGATGTTCAACCTTGTTTTAACCTTATCTTAAAGAAGCCCAGTTTCACTGTAGTTAACTTGCAGATACCAGCACATATGTTGTTTTTACATTGAACATGTACATAAAACAGTACTGTAATACTCCCATGGAAGGACTGTACTATAAATGAAGACATGGAAGAAGAAGCAGAAACGATTTCCCTGTAATTATTGAAATTGGGCGATGGTTTTCCAATAAACTTGAAAAGTAAGAAACAATCTGTGTTTTACGACCAGTATTTGTCATAGTGACTTATCCACACCCGTCATCGTATGCGTGAATGATTTTTAAATTAAAAAAAAAACGTGCATCCCCAAACTATTCAATTCAGCTATTTTGGAAGTACGGGTAGACTTTTCTATTGTATGTAGACGATAACAGGCTATATAACTGACCTGTAGGCAAGTACCTATGGTACTTTTTCCTTACAAAAAGTAAAACGCTTATCTTTAGAAAGAATACACCTTATCGATATTTGTCCGCCATTACTGGACATCACACAAGTTCCCGTAAAATTTTGACGTCATAATAGAAAATGTCTGACGCCACAATGGAAAAGTGATTGTTGTATGACGTCAAAAGTTCGAGCGGGACAGATTCTCGGGTCAAGCGGGAATAGCGATAAGGTGTATTTTGTTGTGGAGTGTACAGATTTTGTTGGGGGAAAGAAACGAATCTATTTGTAGCATTTGATGTGAAATGCACAAAACAAATACGGATATTTAAATACTAATTCCGTAACCTGACAAAGCCAGTCCCCACTATCCAATCACGGGGGGGGTCTCAACATGGGATTTTGGATACAGTTGTGCAGCTTGGATTTAAAAAGCACCCCCATTCATATATTGAATAATTGTGAAATCCCTACCTATACATATATTTCACAGCGAAATCATAACCCATTCATATATGAGGGGCCTGATGGGGGGGGGGGGTCTCATCACGATTCACGAGTTGATTTTTTTGTCAATCACGATTTACAGAAAATAAATTTCCATGATCACGGATCACGAAAATATAATTAAAAAAATCTGTAGATAAACGGATCACGATAGCGAAAATGCGCCGATCACGAAGAACGAAAATAACCCATCAGGCCCCTCATATATTTATCAGCTCAAATAGTACCTATATGCATATACAATCTTAACACCTTTCAAATATATAATATACTTTAATTTATATGAAATATTGAACTTTTCAAACAATAACAAGTAAAAACACTGTTTTGAAGGTGCAATACCACAAAAACATCAGCAAATTTAAAATTAAGCAAGACACACAATGAGAATAAACGCAACAAAATTATTGCATTTAGATCGATGTGTTACGCAATAAGTGCAAAAGGTTCGATATGTAACTTTTTTTTTACTATACTCTAGTGGGTATAAAGATTATTAATTGTGACATTGTAATAAAATTTGATCAATAACAAAACTTGTGTCAATAAGTTTCAGCAGATGTGGAAATTTTAATGAGAAAGAGTTTGGGAAACTCAGTGAAGATCATTGCACAACAAACTGAAAAATTATGACCCATTGATATATCACAATTGGTCAATTACTACCTATTGATATCAAAAAAAGGGTTCCCATTCCAGTTTTCATATATAATTAAATAGTCGTTTGATAAATCTGGTTGCAAATTTATTTATTTATATAAAGCCTTTTTCTCAAATGAGAAAGGTAAATATGCTAGATATACTTACTGAAGGTGTGATGAGATGATTAAAGCCATAAATTTTCTCCTTGACAACATTTATGTACGTTTCGGCAATAAAGTTTATCGACAGATTGTAGGTATTTCTATGGGCACCAATTGTGCCCCTTAAATAGCAGACTTGTTCCTGTACTGTTATGAATCACAGTTTATGGCCAAACTCAATAAAGACCCGTCTAAATTACATTTTATTGATAACTTCAACAACACTAACTGTTATCTGGATGATAAATCTCGTTAAATAATCAAGAACTTTCTAAATATACTGCCGATATTTACCCAAAGGAACTTACCTTAAATAAGTCAAATATTAACAACAATAAGTGTCCTTCCTTGATTTGGACATTTCAGGTTTACACCAGAAACTCTACACAAAAATTTACGACAAAAGGGATGATTTTTCATTCCCTATTGGTAAATTCCTTTTTTTTGGACGGTGATGTTCCTTTGGCACCGTCTTACGGTGTTTATATATCCTAACTCGTTCGATATGCGCGTGTCTGTAGTGACGTTTTGGATTTCAATGAGCGTAATCTATGTATTACTAGTAAATTATTAAGTCGGGGGTTTCGTTACCACAAATTACTTAAAACCTTTACTAAATTCTTCCATAGATACAAAGATTTGGTTTGCAAGTTTGGCTGTACTTGTCGAAAACTTATTTCAAACGGAATAGCACATCCTAAATTTTACGGTGATGTTGTTAACCGAGCCAGGAAATTTAGATACAATCCGAGTAAATTTATCAATTCTTTAAATAAACTTATTCTAAAAGGTTACCTATTCAACACTGTATTCAAATCTTTGAATATTGTTTCTATTGGTATAAATATTGATTTTGTTTTCAGTAAACCATACTAAATATCATTGTTAAACACATATGTACGTTCACGGTACTACAATCTGTCGATACCTATATTTTGGCATTGTACGGTTGATATTGGATAGTTGTCTCATTGGCAGTCATACAACATCTCCTTATATTTATATAATCATCAGCTCAGTAGTCAGTACTTCGGTACCGACATGATTTATAACAAATCTTTCTAAAATTGTCCGTCAATAAATTTTGAAATTATAAGAAACTAAGGTTTCAACTCCCTCAGGCAAAGTTGACCTTAGATGGATTTGGCTATTTTTTTTAGGTCCTTTTTTGTCATATAGCCCTTTAACTGTTTCGGTTCTTATACATCACTGGCTTTCAAATATTCGGCTTTGAGCGTTCCTGATGAAGGTAAATCCAGAAAAGCTCTTCGGACGCATAAAATTTATAACGTGTTGTTTTCATTTTGCTGTACCTATATAAATTTAAAGAAACAGGAGGTTTAGGCGGACACAATTGGACACAATGCAATTTCTATCTCAAAATTGAAGAAACTGGAGCTACAGGCGGAAACACACGGAAATAGCGTTAATTGAAGAAACAGTGGAATACAGGTGGACCCAAGTGGAGACATTTTTTTGGAATTTGTATTGATTCACTCATAGGGTCGTTGCATCGGAAATAAACACATTTATCGTGTTTAGACCAGTTGTTAACATGATACGGGTTATGTTTTCTCGTATAATTTATGTTGGCATGATACAAAACCCCTAATTGGAGGGATTAGGGTTGATTTTCATATGATGATGACATAATCTTTCAATCAGTTTAATTGAAGTCTGGAGCTGACTTGTCAGTAACTGCTTGTTAATTTGTGTTTATCATTGTCATATGTTGCTAAGTTTTTTCTGTTACCTATTCTAACATCTGACAAATTATTGTTTAGGGGCCAGCTGAAGCCCGCCCCATGGTTCGGGATTTTCTCGCTGCGTGGAAGACCCATTGTTGGCCTTCGGCTGTTTTCTGCTATTTGGTCGGGTTGTTGTCTCTTTGACACATTCCCCGTCACCATTCTCCATTCTATACTACTGGACAAAGCGTTATTATTGTACAAAAATTAAAGAAACAAGGGATACAATCGGACACAAGTGGACACAATGCAATTTCTATATACAAAAAAATAAAGAAACGGCAAACACAAGGGAATACAGTGTTAATTGAAGAAACAGGGGATATAGGCGGACATAAGTGGACACAACATAACACAGTATTATTACAAACTGTATAAAAATTAAATAAATAGGGGATGCAGGCGGACACAAGTAGACACACGACAATGTCTATGTAAAAAATAATGAAACGGGTGGCTTCAAGCGGGACTCAAGTGGATACAGTGTTAATCAAAGAAACAAGAGGATACAGCCGGAAACAAGTGGACACAGCGCCTTTTCTATATAAAAATCCGCGAAGGGTTTCGGAGAGCCTTGTGTCTTATTTCTGGTGAAAGATTAGACACTGTAAATTGTTTAAGGATTAAGTTCGGTAAGGGCCATATTTGGACTCTAATATTAAGATCCTTTTTAATGAAATTGAAAATGACCAACTTAATATGAACTTTGGTGGATAGTTGTCTCATTGGCAATCATACCACATCTCCTTATTTTTATATTAAGAAATTACTTAAGAAATCTGCAAGAGCAAAATTAGAAGATGTATTGACATCCTGTACTATACTGTTTAAGCGTTTAAATTTGTTAGATATTGAACGGAAGATTAGTTATGATTAATGAAGTCAACCACTTTAAATAAAATAATGTTATCTATTTATTAATTTAATCACTGGTGTCATCAATTTTCGAATTTTGACCTGTAGTGAAAGAAATTCAGGGAACATTGACTTTATTTATTTGTGTAGAATTTCATTGTAGACAAAAATAAGAGACAGATACGCATTAATATTTAAGCCTCGTTTCAAACTATATAATAATTAAGCAATTATAATGTAAATACCACTAAAACAGACCCAACAATTTAACAACAACCCTAAAATTATAAACTTTATCAGTATGTGTATCAAGTTAAAAAAATAAACAAAAGACGATTCCTTAACTTGTTAGCTTTATAAATTATAATACTGCAATAAGCTGGGTGTGAAATATCAGTTTGTTTAATAATTCCAGGAGGTCGAATAATACTTCCACAAATAATCTCTCCAATGAACAGTATATTGTAATTGTTGAACTTTCACTTCATTTGGTCTCTGGTGGAAAGTTGTCTCGGACATTGGTGAACATAATATATCTTCTTATTTTTATATCAACTTTTTAAGCTTCAGTGTAACTGACGTTAAATTTAATCGGGTTATTTTTCGTTAACAATATGGCGGATAAAAGAAAAAATGCGTGTGCTTTGCTTTTGTAAAACTCTGATAATACATTAATAGCCTGCAGGTGCTTCTCTAATTAATTTATTTTTATATCAAATACGTCTATGACAAAAAAAAACAATAAAAAAAAGGATAAGCGACAATCTCTGTTTGAAGCAAAGCCATACAGTTTATCATCCTGTACATCTTTTTAGTATAATTTATTTATAAATTGCCTTGACTAGATGGTCTCTATTTTGCCGTTTATGAGTTTGTTTATCTTACTAAGACATGATTGTTACAGCATATGCAATACCAAATCCATATACCGCGCTGAAGTACGTCCATTATTTGTTTTCCGTTTTATATTATTCAAACCTTAAACTTAAGTTTTGAAATAAACGACAAACAATATCACCATTCATTATTTATATCTATAATTGAATAGTTAACAATGAACTTTTTCAGTAGTACATTTGTATTTATTGAATTCTGAAAAATGATAAGTGAATCATGCATGAGCGTACATCTGCGCCTTGTAATCATCGCAGTTGCGATTTAGCAATACATTGAATATGCGCAAATCATACACATACATTCCGTAAAATGATGCATATCCTTTATTGGTTTGCCATGTTGCAATAATGACAACAAACAATCTCCTTTTGAAATAAAAAAACTTCATGAAACTGATTTACTTCACATAGTCATTTTGCGGTTTTAAAATAATTTTTAAAAGTATCAGGATATTTCCACCATTTTTTATGTCATTAGTTTCTTCATCAGAGGAACTCCTACGCCTATCTTTTCTAAAGGCATCGTTTGGCCACCTGAAGAAAAGAAACAGAACTTTTGAGGAAATACATCTTGACATAATATGATATCGACGAGACATGCAACGCTTATCGATGTCTCGATAAGATATGGAACGTTTATCGTTGAGACATGCAACTTTTATCGATGAGACATGCAACTTTTATTTATAAGACATGCAACTTTTATTTATAAGACATGCAACTTTTATTTATAAGACATGTAAATTTTATCGATGAAATATCATGGTTATAGAAAAACTACAATAAGGCATGTTACTTTACCAAAACATTTCAAACAACTGATTATCTAAATAAATGATCAAAACAATAGACAATGACATGCATTATAAGATGTTCAGACTTCTTATGATAACTTAATAATGAACATTTCTATTATACTTAGTGATCATAATGATGTATCAATTATACTGACTATACTGTTTAAATTGGGATGTAATTGAAGAACACATACAGAAAGTTTCGAAAATATTAACAATTTAAAAAGTTGCATCATGAACTGACTGGTGAAGATCATCTTAATTGGTTATCCTTAGATACATGTTAAAAAAAAGAACATATTTGCAAACTGAGTACTTACAAGTTTTACGACACTCGAAAATAGTCTCAAAATTATTCTGGTTCCCTCCACATCCACCGTACGTGAATTTTTCACAATGTGTAGTCAAGCCATTGTAGTAATGTCTGGTGAACCTTGCTTTACAATTCCCGGTTTGAATTGGTAAGGAGCAAATGTCAATAATTTTCGGTTCTTGTCCTGAAATATTGTTATGATTGTTATATATTTCATTGTGAACTTCAATCTAGTCATAAAAGTTACTTGATATGTCTTTGTATCATTATCATTAACAATACATATTTCGATTAACGATGTATTCATATGTAAAAAGGAAAGCTGAAATTACCTAAAATATTTGACAGTGCAACAGACCGCACCAACCTCCAACATCCCGAAAACAGACGTACAAACAAAGAAAAACAATAACGAACAACACATGGACAGTCCAAATAGCCTGAATTGGTACAGACACAACATGTTGTGGTGTTAAGCAAAGTTTGCGTGCGCTTGTACAAACCTGACATTTTTCCTGAGCTATGTCCAGACGAAAAAAAAAATCTTATCCATCAATGGAGTCAGATTATTAGTGTTTTAAAGCCCGTGCAAGATCATATGGAGCAGAGCAAAATTATGTAGTTTTGACGAATATGTCTATGCAATTTGTTATGTAGTCGCGGAAAAGACATACATGATAACAGTTTTATTTGCTAATGGGCATTAAAGTCAACCAACTGTTTTTCTTGTCCCGATATTCCATATATGATATATTTGCTTTTTTTCCCCAAGTGATTATTTTTGCATTTGATATACATGTACGTGATGATCTATAAAAAGGCATTAATTAGGACTTTTCATAAATTAAAAAAATAACTCAAATTTGAAGTCTTATAGTTATAATCACGAAACTCAAACTGAAACTAAATTGATGCAATGTTTTGGAATTATATGATGTTATTATATTTCATTATGACATCTGAAGGTAGCGTTCTTGTTAAAAAAAATATATTTCTGAAAAATTCAGCGATATCTATATGCAGATTCGGATTAAGATTCAGATTCGAATTCAATATTTCATTAGAGTCGCACCACCTACAAACATATAATAAGATTCACAGAACAACATATGAGAGAATTAAAACATTTGCGATGTATGCACCAATCAAAAAATTTACGAGCGAGACTTTATATGCATGTACAGTTTATAAATTTACCTTTACAGCATTTTTGGCATAATTGTAATAAAACTAGCACTATATTGTTGTTTTTTTATCAAATAAGATTAATATAAAGACTTAAAATTATGATACATAAAAATAAATACTAAACTTACCGAAAACACATGCAATAAAAATGCAAGTAAGAATAAAACATATACTTCTATTCATAATTCAAAATGGTTATATTTAGGTAGAGCATTTTGATGTAGTTTGTATTTATAGTAAACAAGCATCATAATATGTTCTAATTACATACAATAATGACTATATGTACATGCATTTAGAAAAAAATGTCATGTAAAACATAATAGGTAATATATGTTATTGCTTATAGGAAATATTTACACTAATTAATATCATAAAATATGTCACAAGTTTTGTCCAGTTGTTTGATATAAAACATTGTAATGATGATACCACACAAATTGAAATTGATTCGTGAAGCTAGCCGAATATATTGCATTGCTTTCTCTACTCGAAAAAAGAAGTGAGCAAACTTTACAAGTGTATTATTCACTTATAATTATAATTATTTGGAATGGTTTTCATTTACTTAAAGAAACTGTTGAGAAAAGGATAATATTCTAATTTGATGAATATTATGATTTTACATGAAATCAATTGTGAGAATCAGTTTAATCAAAGGACTTCATTTCTATCATTTACATTGCAGTGTCGATTTATTGTATTGATAGGGAAAATTGCAGGTCATTAGATAAATTTATCTATGATAAAAATAATTTGTTATCGTGCATAAATAGTTAATGTCAATAATGGTGAATGAGCTAGTGTGTAACAAAAATCAAAACCGTATTCCCCGTATTTGTGATAACATGAACAAAAGATTTTCTTATAAAATGAATTAAATTCCCCCCGCAATGAAATCTTTACAAACTATTATTAACACATTTTATAATGTGATATGCGTTTGCTCCCAAAGGGTCGGCATTGTTATGAAAATAGACCATGATGCTGAATAGTATTAGAAGTCGGATACCAATTTTCTGTAGGAAAAGGGACAACTTTTATTTCCCCCTGTTTTCCCTAAGGCATGCGCTGTATCCTAATTCACGACTTGCGTATTCTGTGAATACATAATAAAATTGCTAATAAAAATGCCTGGATTTTTTTTAATCAAATACTTGTTGAATATTATATGATCGGCTTTTTAGCAGTTCAAGTACTGGAGAACTTTGAAATTAAGTAATAGTAGTAAGGCTTCATACCATAGCACATCGTAACCAGACTCAAGCTAGCGAACAATAAGCCAGGGAACAATAAGATGTATCATGCTAGCAAACAATAAGCCAGCGAACAATAAGAAATACGCGCCAAATTGATCATGCCTTAAAACTGAAGACTTGCATTAACATGAAACATCCTTTGTAATCTGATGACAATCATTTCCAGTAGGAAGACGAAATACATTTTCACAAAGACAAAATTGAATATTTATTTATTTATTTACTCAAGACAACATAATTTTTATTTCTTGACTACAGGGTATCTCTTCTAGGATTTTCAAAATTCCTTTTACCTCCTCCTCTCCCTTTTTAATTAGCTAGGTTGATACACCTTATTGTTTGCTAGCTTGAGTCTGGTCACATCGTAAAATGTCCCTTCAACATGATAACGGTGCCAACACATGTCAATAGATATTCGATAAAACTACAATGATATATTCAGAATTAGAAAGACTGAAGAGTTCATTCCAAGTTATGTGTCACAGTACCCTTGCATTTGTGTTAAATTTTATTTTCTCCTTTTAACAGTTTATATCCACATGGACAATTCCTTGTAAGTTTGAACTGTGAACTATTCTTGCCTTCGCATGAATATATTTACACCTCTGAGAAAACCATACTCAATGTTACAGAAAATATCAAGAAGCAATTTAGGTCAAAATTGAAAAAAACAGCGTCAATGGTCTAAATGTAAAAAAAACAATGAATCGTCTAAATGTATATTTTTTAAACCTTGTCTTTAAAAATCATTTAAAATAAAATTACGTTATAAATAAACAGTTATATCAAAATATAAATGTACATAAACAATTGTCGGCTCCGAAGCAGGGGCTACTGATCAGATGATGCCTCGTGGGAACTCGATAGCAGCGGTACCACGATTATCCTACAAAATACCACACGTTTTGTAAGATTTTGTAAACTATTGCCTTTAATTAAAAAAAAAATACAGATGTCTCTGTATAAAAACAAGATCACCTGATGCTTTCTCCCTGTTGGAATTTGTATAATTGAAAGCCGGTGTTGTTGTTGTTTATTAAAATTGAGGTCTATTTATAGATATTTTTGTTCTATAGAAAAGAGATGGAAGATATCAAAGGAATATTCAAACTCATAAGTCGAAAATAAACTGACAACGTCACGGCAAGAATAAACGGAAAATAACGAAAAGACAAATAACAGTATACAAAATTTAACATATACAATTTATGATTGAGCAGCACAAACCCCACAAAAAAACCTGGCGTGATCTCAGGTGTTCAGAATTAAGGGTAAGAAGATCTGCTTCACATTTGGTACCCGTTGTATTGCTCGTGTCAGTACAAATTGATCAAAAGTCTAATTCGATGATGTTACATAAGAGGAAAAGAAATTTCTGATTAATAAAACAAATGTATTTTACCCTTTTGAACTGATGAACGTTGGTTTGCTTTAAATTTGCTATGTTGCTCGCAAAAAGAAGCATTCTTCATTTCAAATGTTGTATCATGTACTAACATTATTTTCAGTGATGTAAACATATGTTGGAGCAGGTTGAGGCTACCGCTATTTTGAAATTGTGTGATTTTTAACCATTTACCTCTATTATCATATTGTAGATGTAGTTGTAAAAAGTGACGTTCGTCAGACAAAGCGGCACAACTCAATCATAATAAATAATATTTTTACAGTACTACACTATATATAGTTGATAATCACGAGAAACTATCGAAACAAAAAAGGGTGTAGATGGGGGTTACAGAATAGACAATAATCGGAAAAAATACAAAAAATAGAGAAAAATAAACCAAAAAAAATGAATAATAGAGAATATGTATAGTGCTAAAATATAAAGAATAGAGAATAATGGGCTAAAAGTATAAGGAACAGAGAAAAATGGTCTTAAAAATTAAAGAATACTGAAATGAAGGACACCCATTCAGACCCTCTTTTATGATAATCAAAACCAATGAAATGGAAGAAAAATGTATCGTTTCAATAGTCTATTTGTATGTTTGATTCAGATAGATATTTAAACAGTTTTGCTATTCTTATTTTTTAACCTTTTTTAAATGTAAATAATTGGAATGCCTAAATTTTAGTTTTGTGTTATATTCCTTCAATTGTAATAAGTTTGAAATCTTTAATTGCATTAGTTATAATGATAATTAATGGTTGTGCAATTCCTTTTTTTTTTTTTTTTTTTTTTTTTTTTGTTGTTTTTTTTTTTTTGCCTATACGTGTAACTAAAGACCTGAAAACTTTGAAAGAATGCTTTCCTTTTGTTCTTTTTGATAATGCCCAACATAACAGAATATCTACACTTAAACTCAAAGTTCAAGTCCGTTAAAGAACCGTGGTCATAAAATATAGTAAGTCTCTTTTGAAATATGACGACAATTTAATGTTACATACAATAAGCGGTTTATACTTACTTAATTGATAAAAAATAAAACCAATTATCTACATTTATCTCAAGTTTACGCTAACCTTTCGTTCAATCTTGAATAAGTTATCTTTTTGTACCAGATTACATACAAGAACGTGTAACAATTTATGAAATGGTTTTAAATGTTCAAGAGGTCATTTCCCTCGTTCGAATGATGTTTTCACTTTGATCTCGACCTATGGACCCTCAGTGATAGTATAAATAAAGAATAATTAATGTAATTGCAAAAATCCACTCAGGTTTAGTTTAAAACACGTATCCGCGGATTCTTCACAGTCTTAAGATGTTGTCCCAGAAAACATCAGGAATGTTGGTTGTGATATCATTTGTGATAGTTTTCACTGTTACATGTGTCACTTCTCAAAGAAGTAAAGGTAGGACTTTCTAATTTCTTCAACTTCATTTCAAATGATACTTCATAAGCTAAAATTGTTCCCTTTTCTTATTTTGAATACGAGTTTTTTTTTATCCTGGAAGGTTTCTCGAGTTTGAGTTACGTTTTTTTTTTCTGAATTCAGAATCTGAGTATCATAGAAGGTTTAAAGTCGGGAACATGTATATTGTCTATTTGGTGTTCCTCATGAAGGTAAATTTAGAAAAGCGCTTCGAACGCATCGCAATTATAAAGTGTTATTTTATTTTTCTATAGCACTGGGTCGATACCGCTTCTGGTTTATTGCTAGTCCCCGATGGTATCATCAGCTCAGCACGCGGTGCTTATGCACTGACGTGACTCGAGTTTATAACATACCTTTCTTACGTTTTCCGTTGGTAAATTTAAAAACAATTAAAAGACCATGATCCCATCTCTAGTAGGATTTACAAAGTTTGGAATTGATAAAAGTAAATCCAAAAAGCGCTTTGGATGCATTGGTATTATATACATTTGTAGTGTTATTTTCACTTCTTTGCCTGAGGTTGTATCTAAGTGTTTCTCCCTTTATTATTATATATTTGGTAATCTCTGTTTAATTTATTCACAACGTGATCAGGCATTGTTGAGCCTGACGTATTGGCTGTCAAGATTGACGTATTTGTGTTCCTTTTTTTCTATACATATTGATATTACCACATCCGGATTCTAATGTGTTTGCTGTAGTACGTTGTTACAATTCTGTTCGGTGATAACATTAACCGTAAATACACTTATTGGACATGTAAGGAAATTATTTTATAAAATAATACTTTGTCCCTACGAAAACGCATTTTTTTGTCAGCGGATCAAGTATAATATTTATTTATTTATTTGTGTTCCAATTGGGGTGGAGCGGCGTGTGTAAGGGGGGGGGGGGGGTTGTTCAAATTTACTTCTTTTCTGTTATAATTCATTGCTAATATCAATAGTGGCCCTACGAAACACAGTCCGCTTGATATATGTATTTGAAGTCATTTGCATATTAAAATATTACATATTCTCTTATAAGTAATAATTTTTAGAGGTTAACAGCAACTGATTTGCTTTTCTGGACCTTGATATGACAATTTCTGACAGAAGTTTTAATACCCAGATTAACATCATATTTTCATTTCGTTGATGTTATTGTTCCATTAGTTTTTTCTTGTGGAGTTTCTAGCTTATTAAATCAGGTTAGGGGAGGGTTGAACGCTCAGAAACATGTTTAACCCATCCACATTCTGTATGTTCCTGTTCCAAGTCAGGAGCCCCTAATTCAGTGCATGGTTGTCGTTGGTTGCTGTCTATTTTATATCTGTTTTCGATTATTGTTTTGTCATAAATCAGGCCGTTGTTTTTTTGTTTCTGTTTATTTTTGTTTGAATTGTTTCACATTTTGTCATGTCGAAGCCTTTTATAGCTGACTATACGGTATGGGTTTTGCTTATATATATATTGGTAAAGGTCATATGGTAACCTATAATTGCTTAAATCCATGTCGTTTTGGAATGTGTTGGGTAGTTGTCTTTAAGGCAATCATACCACATCGGAGGCATTGATATTATATACATTTGTAGTGTTATTTTAATTTCGTTGTCTGAGGTCGTATCTAAGTGTTTCTCCCCTTATGGCATATTTTGGTATTTGTTCGATCTATTCACTACGTGATCGGGCGATGTTGCGCCTGAGTGACGTGTTGAAAGTTTCAAGGTTGCTGTCAAGATGATTGACGTATACCCCACATTTTTTTATTTCATATTTAAGCTGCATTCATTTGAGATCTGATTCGTTACCGTTGACAATTTGTGTTTCTTCTCTTCTATACTTATTGATATTACCAATCCGGATGATAATGCGTTTGCTTTAGTTGTTACAATTTATTTTCATTAATAACAGTAACCGTAAATACACTTAGTGGACATGCATGTAATGAAACTGTTAAAACAAATTTTTTTCCCTACAAATATATTCATGTTAGTTTTTTTGCAGATTAAGTTTAATGTTAATTTGTAAGTGTTCCAATGGGGAGAAACGATGTCAGTTTTATTTCAAATTTACTTTTCTTTTCTGATTTGAATCTCAATTCATTGATAAACTTCATAGTGACCCAATTCAACGAAACACCATCCGCTTGATAGATATATTTGATATTATTCGGATTAACATATTCTCTTCGAGTCATAATACTTAGTGGTAAACAGCCCTGATTTGCTCCTCTGCACCTTGATATGACAATTTCTAGATCTAGATCGTTGACAGCCTCTGGTCAAATTCATTCACACCATTTTCATGGAGATTTAGAGATTGACATACAGACATCTGTCTATTGTTGAAGACTGTATGTTGACCTCTATAGATGTCTTTTGGAAATGATTGTCGTTGGATTGTTGTCTCATTGACTTTCCCCACACGTTTCTTTTTATTCAACTTCATAGGTTAACTCGGATATAGAAATACGGGTTTCTGTTTGCTGTTTTTGGATGTATAAATACACAGCAACGTCCAACCTGAAGGAGCGTTAAATCCGATGACTATAGTATAGGGTATCACGCTCACTGCACGTTTATGAACCCTGGCAGAAACAATTTCTGATGGAAGTTTTACCGATACCTAGATTAATATCACACTTTCATTTCGTTGAAGGAGTTGTTCCATTTGTTTTCTCTTTCAGATTTTCTAACCTTTTAAATCAAGGAGTTTGAAATTCTAAAATTATAAAGCGTTTTCTTTTGGAGATTTTTAACAGAAGTATGACTTCGCATATAAAGGTGTTCCACAAAAAAAACCTATTTTATACTGAATTACTAAAGCAAACACAATGAGAGTTGTCATTTAATTTATGGATTGCCACTAGAAATTGAGCAAAAATTCTGCATTGTAACAAATCACCTACAGACCCTTTAAATAACCTTATTTAGCACACATTATACCCATAAGAGGGCCAAAGGCATAACAATTACATGTATAAACAACAATATAAAGATGACATTTACATTTGCATAAATAAAACAAAATTTTAAACACACAACACAACAAATGCCCTCAAGTTCCCCCTGTACTAGTTCCATAGACTGTTTTATAAAGGAGCCTAAAGATTTCACTTGCTGACTAGTAGTTGGATTTAGAATATAGTTCATTTTTTTATCAAAAAAATCTTTGTATTGTGTTTTTAAATCTTCAAAAAAAGACATATCTTAAATCATTATTTATTCTACATAATAAAAAGAAATTGGATTCATCATCCATAACTCTGCACTTATTACAAAGTTTATGGGGCCGTGGAATATTTTTATATCTTCCAGTTTTAATAGCGAGGGAAAAATAACTAATTCTAAATTTGCATATTAGTTTTCTTCTATCAAGATTAGGGTATGTCAACTAAAAGTCTTGTTGATATTCAGTTTTAATATGCTTAAACAAAAGAAGTTTACTATTTTGATCAAGAGAAGATATCTTATAGTCATATATATCTTTGCTGAAGTTCATTTTTATAGTATTTTTTACTGAGATTCTTACAGGCTCTGCATTTGTTTTTAGATTCATCTGTGGGTTTGCTAATATTATTGTCGGACCTAATATGATTTATTCATGAGTACCATGAGTATATACCTTGATCATGAAGTGACTTTGAAAGAGTTTAAAGAGTTGTTTAAATGAATTGTTGCAGATGAAAGGCAAGAAAAAGATCTGATCATTTGCAAATCATTGGTCAAAAGATTTGAAAAGACAGAATCCTGACAGAGACAAGGACAAATAACACAAATCATATATACATTCATTAGAAAATAATCATTAACTCGACCCTAACTTTTTCAAGATTAATAGATTTATCAATTTTATTTTACGGTACGAGTTCATTTATATAGGTACATTGCATTGTTACCAGAGAATAATTAGGTATGGCCACTTTTACCTGAATTGTTTCGCTCATAGGATCAAAACTAGAAAGTTTTTGAAATATAACGTATTTGAATATGAAAGATATACTGTCAACAATTTTACATATATCCATAAGATGAAATGTTATTCAGTACCATACACATTTCCATTGACGACATTTTTTTATTTAATATTGCAAACTAACATGTTTTATTAAACTAGAAGACATAGAAGGACAAACATAAAAACAAAATTAAAAAAAAAAAAACAAGAGAAATTGTGGAGATTAAATTCCAAAGGATTTTTTTGTTTTCGTTATAAATGTTCGTCGCATTTATAATTCGGGTAAAAATTCAAAATTTGCCAATATGTCTCAATTTCCCGTACATCTTAAATAAAGTATTTTAAGGAAATGAAAAATTTGTTTGATTTCATATAAAGTGATATGTCTTTATTATATAGTTTTTTAACATATGGAATGCACATAGACTCATGAGAGTATTTTCGGGAGGGTAATTAGCACATGAGTTGGTTAATGTATCAGGATTTGCCTTGTTTTGTTTCATGTATTTAAAAAATTCTGTTAAATTGTGGTAAATGTAAATATTTTTTTTTTACTTTTGGCATTCCTCTTTAATGAATAAAGAATTAAATTAGAAATCTTGATAGTGATTTAGTAACCTTTTCGTTGAAGTAGCCTGTGACGAAGATGAATTCCAGTGTCGGAGAGGCGAATGTATTCCAGACGTTTGGAGATGTGATGGCGAACCAGACTGTAAAAATAGACGGGATGAAAAGAACTGTCGTAAGCAATCATAATTAGCATTAATGTTATAAAACAATTTATTTTTGTTATGAAAAATCATGACCACACTGAGGAACAAAGACATGTCAAAGCAAAAGCTTTCATTATTAAGAAATTCAATGAAAAATCAAAACAATGAGTAAACATTCAGCTTTCTAACAAGTGTCCGAGACAGTCACACAAAGACTATTCTAACCAAGAGTATCCCAGATTGTCGAGTCGTGCAGTCCTCTCGCTGTTTGATCTTTTTTCTTACAAAACTGATATTTTGAAATTACCTCACGTACAACAATAACGTCACAGTTGACCAACAACAGGGTGAACAAATAAAAACTTCCATAAAAATACGGAACATTACAGATACTCAGAAAAGTGAAGTATATCTGCCAAGTAATTCAAACCAGTTACTGTATTAGTCAAACCTTGAATGATAAAGACATGCATTTAGATAGATGTGTTCACGATTGTCTGGAGATAAGAACCAATGACCGACTAGTCACTTTTTGCGACCATAGGTACTCGGGGATAGCATACCTTTTTAGCCCTTCCCCTTTTTTCCCATAATCGATTATTTTCGCGTTTTTCTGTAAGTTGTGTTAACATAAATATACTAGAAATAACATGTATTTGCTATTTACTGTCAACTCCTAGTTTACTATCAACAGCGGTCACTGACAAATTTTAATTGAAAAAATAGAGGGTAAAATAGTTACGGATTTCGGACAGAAAGGAGAGGGCTTAAAATATTGTCCTGTCTCCAAAAAAGATGCATCAACACTTAAATAAAATTGAAAATCATTGACCTAAGTGATTTTTGAGATAAATAAACAGATATCCAGGGTATATGAAAATGAGGCATTTAACCAAAAGGACATGACATATTGCAAGTATTTCCAGCTGTACATATATTTACGAATGATAGACATGTGACGTTTTTATTCCTACAGCGACAGAGAGATGTGATGAACATCACCATTTATGCAATGACAATTCACACAATCGCTGTATCCCTATAGCCTATAGATGTGACAATGACTTAGACTGTGAAGATGGTAGTGATGAAGACCCTGCAATCTGTAGAGCCGTAAGTATATGTCATGTGTAATTATACTCTTTGTGTGTAGTCTTAAATACTAGACTAAAGTAGTCATTTTATGCAATCGAAGGTATTTGAATAAAAACGTATTTCCCTTGAATCTGATGATCTGCAAATATTCTAAAAAAATGTCCACTGTAAAAGAGATGCGACAGATACCAAAGGGAATTCAAACTCATAAGTAGAAAACAAAATGTCAGCGCCATGGCCAAAAAAGAAAAAGACTAAAAAGACAAACAACAGTATACAAAACACAACATGGAAAACTAAAGACTTAGTAAATCGAACAATAATCTGTTATTATTTTAAACAATTATCTCTCTGTAGTCTGAGAATGTGAGATCTGTATATTGTGGAAACACCTTATTCACAAGTCATCAGCACAGTAAATTTGCTTTTAACCTCGAGTTAGTTGACCAATGAACAGCAAATAAATCAATTGTTTTATTTTTTCTATAAAATGCGAAAGACCGTTGTTAAAATTTCTCATTTAAAACTTGACAGTTCCAATTATACATTTCTCACTTCGTAGTTTGAACTGAGAAATGTCAACTGGGAAAAGAAAAAGTGTCATGTTTAAATTGGACCTGACAAATGTTAACTTGGAACTATGAAACTTTTATTGTCAACTTGGAAGTGAGAAATGTCAAGTTGAAAGGGATGAATTTCAAAATAGATATGAGAAATTTTGAAAATAGAATGTCCCTACCAGTCTAGGTCTAGTCCTTTACAACAATTCTAAATCATGTTTGTAGTAACCTGTTGTGTAATTGTAATCTTTATCTTTGTAATGTTTAACAACATTCTACACGTAACTAAGGACATTTTATAGTTCCAAGCAGGTGTACATTGAAAATTAGTTATGCTGTCTTAGAAAGAAGAATTTCAACACATACAAAAAAAAAAAAAACGCACAAGACTTTCTTTTTCAGATCGTTGAATATTACTGACATAAATTTTCCCCATTCCCATATCCAGAACTTTCTATTTTTTGAAAAATTTATTTAAATGTTAACCTTTGCGGTGATGTTCAAACATAAAGATCTGCTCTGTTTTAAATGTCAAAATAATAAATGGTGATTTCAGCTCCTTTTTAAATCTCAATATTAAAGCAGTGACAGTTGATATATGTTCTAATCCTTGCTGTAAAAAAAAATATTATTATTACATGATAAAATTGAGAATGGAAATGGGGAATATGTCAAAGAGACAACAACCCGACCAAAGAGCACACAACAGCCGAAGGCCACCAATGGGTCTTCAACGCATCGAGAAAATCCCGCACCCGGAGGTGGTCCTCAGCTGGCCCCTAAATAAAATTGTGTACTAGTTCAATGAAAATGGACGTCACACTAAACTCCAAAACATATAAATGAACTAAAATTAAAAAACATACAAGACTAACAATGTATATATTTGAAGCAATATCTTGAAAAAAAATTTGCAAAAATACAATGACGTACTGTGGATTCATTTATTTTCGTGGATTGAGGAAAACTTGCATTTTCGTGGATATTTGATTTCGTGGTTTTGCCAATCTCTGCATACAAAGTTTACAGAAAATGTGTAATTCGTTCAACATTTGAATTCGTTGTTCACCTGTACCAACGAAACCCACGAAAATTCGGAAGTAGACCATATTATCATGTAATAGATTTATTTTATTGGATAATTCTTAAAAATATAAGTTATGACATTGTCTGCATTTTTGGTATTCTATGAAATCATTTCCCTTAATTTTATTTCAGCCACGAGGATGAAACTAGATACAAAATGTAGCAGTGAAAGAGGCTGAAACTAGTATCATTTCGTTGCTTAATAGAGAGCAACCCGGTGGTTAGAGGAAAATTTCTTCAATTTGATTTACATTTTTTTTATTTCTTTTTTATTGTTATGCATTGTTTATTTTCAATATTAAATATTTACATTTTCACTGTTGTTCAATTTTGAGTGTTTAAGTGGACATTAAAAAATTTCATCGGATAAGATCAACTGAAAAACACTTACATACATACAATTTTATAAAATTAAAGATGTCATGTACGATTAATGATGGCGAATCCTTCCCATAGGCCATGACTGTTCCATTTCCACTAAAGCAATAATTCTCGAGTGGTTTTACAAATTATTAAGTTAATTGACACTGAAAGCGAAGTTTTAGAAATCCTTTAACATTTTTTTTAAATAAAAGAGATGTATGAAATGTAGGATAAACGTCGAGGAGACAACAGCGACATTACAACACAATCTGACAACAAAACATATCTAAAGTGTTTGGCTCTTGATCGATCAAAAACTTTACTCGGTTCTTGGAGTACAAAATTTGTGTTAAAAAAACCCAAATCCAGTATTTTGATTGGTTGAATTCCGAGTCTCATATCAGTAATAGTACCCGATTGTTTTATGACCGCAATGCCTGGTCTTTAATCCAAAACTTAGTTATCAAGCTGATTTATTTTACGGCTATTATGGATTTTTGGAAAAATCTGCGACATAATCCATTACTATTTCAAAGTAGTTTTTTTTCCATTGAATGGATAAAGGCTTTAATTGAGGTATTTCTACCATTTGACTTACACATTGCGCTGCTTCATTTTATTTGCTATGACGTATAATAAGAAAATGATGCTTTTTATCTTTCTTGTTTACCTTAACAAATCTGTAGCCTGTATAATTCAGTTGTCATTTGTTGATGTTTATTGTATTGTTTTTCGTTTATTGTTTGTACATAAACCAGGCCGTTGGTTTTCTCGTTTAAATGTGCTACATTTTGTCATGTCGGCTCCATTTTGAGCTTGCTGTATTCCTTGCTCTGAATGCTCTGCAGACAATCAGCAAATACCAATTTTAGCCGACCATGGATCGCAATGAAGGCGAGCACCAAACAACGAGGTATCGAGGGGATTAAGTGTGAAATACAAACAAAATCTGAACGGTTACAATGCATTCAAAGTAGGCATATATATTATGCATTTTGGCTGCGAAAACGTCAAAATATAGTTTTATTGTGTTTCTGTTTAATTCTTTTTCAAAATAACTTATATAATATGTGAAAATAATAACAACAAAGAGTAAACACAGGAGAAAGCACAACTGGAAAATTACCGAACTCCAATGAAAATTCAAAACGAAAAGTCCTATACCAAATGGCAAAATTATAAGCTCAACCATATCAAACGACAATCATGACTCAGTTTGTTATTATTTTCCATAATCATTTTATTCCTTGAAGAAAGGAGATGCCTTACATTCCGTCTTCAAAAACACCTTGTTCATTTTGTTGCCTTGCCAGAAACGAAATTCCCGGAGATGGGCATTTATTGTTAATATGTTTCCGTCGGTAACTAGGGCAATGACAAGTGTTCATGCTGAAAATATCTGGTATTATTTAGAATTGTCGTATTATTGCCAATAGTTCAGATCAACAGATCTGTAATGCTAATTTGATTGTTATTGTTACAAGAAGAATCTTCTTGTGGTAATTGAGAAATCATTGCGTTGATTCAGATATTTGGCGGGAAATTAAGTGGTCTAGGTCGAAGGTTGTGGGGGTGTTCATTAGGGATCATACTCTATGTTCAGTAAGGGGGAATATTTAGGGAACACCACTATATAAAGGAATTACTAATTCGACCAGGGGTATTAATCGCATGAGAAATACGGGAAAACTAGTTGAAATAATAAAACTTGTAAAATTTTCCTTTTTCGTAACTTAAGTACTAGGGTTTACATTTAGTGACCTCATTTTTCAAAATTTGTGCTTTCTTCAATTATAGAAATTTTTATTTCATCAAAAGTGTACTGCGCCTGATTTTAATTGATAGCTTGATAGTACTTAACATTGATCTATTGTGCGAGTTCATGTAGAGTCTAGCATATTGCATTGAGAAAAAGAAAATAAATATAAACAAAGAAGCAATGTCATCGTTCTAACATGAGCTATGGGACTGTTTGATTAGAAGATAACTGTGATGTTCGTATAACAAAAAATGTTACACCATTAACACATATATTTGAATAATAAACCAGTGCACTTAGTGCAAGATAACCAGAAATATTATAAGTGATCAATATCATCTGCCGATCTCTTATCACGGTACAATGTACGATGATATCATACATTAGCAGCGTGCACACGTACGGTCATATCCTCGCACGATGTTTCATTTCTTTTCTTGAATATAATACCTTCATTCATGATATCTCTATGCAATAAGGGATATGTTCAACCCAGCACGTAGACCTCGAATTGAAGAAAAACGGGACTAACTTTTTTTTATAAATTTTGACTTGGAGTTGTCTCATTGGCACTCATACCACATCTTCTTAATAATATATCTACTAACGTACGTCTATTGATATTCACTAGTCTAGGGTTACGATTTGGTCCATTCCCTCCACAGGGATGGAGAGGAGGGGCTGGATCGTAACCCGTCGCTAGCTAAGTCTATTATAATTCTATATTCATTTTCCAGAATGAAAAAAAAACGATTCATGAAATTTTTCACTTCAAATCTAAATCGAAAATAACGAAATACGAAAAGATAGTTCGATATTCATAACCCGAATTTCAAAAATGTAATGAATATTTCGTTAATTAAATTAAGTTACAATGTGACTTGATGAAGATGAAAGAGTGCATTATCTACATAAAGGTTAAATGACTGACCGCAGTGTTTGATGTGGCGCAGTTAATAGGACGATAAGACTAAACACATGCAAAACTACGGAGCCCTGTTGGTCTCACACAGATTATGAAGTGTCTTTTAAAGTCCTGCGCTGAAGATGTGTAAAGTCTAGCGCTGGAGATGTAAAGTCTATCGCTAGAGATGTAAAGTCTAGCGCTGGAGATGTAAAGTCCAGCGCTGAAGATGTAAAATCTAGCGCTGGAGATGTAAAGTCCAGCGCTGGAGATCTAAAGTCTAGCGCTGGAGATGTAAAGTCAAGCGCTGAAGATGTAAAGTCTAGCGCTGGAGATGTAAAGTCCAGCGCTGAAGATGTAAAGTCCAGCGCTGGAGATGTAAAGTCAAGCGCTGGAGATGTAAAGTCTAGCGCTGGAGATGTAAAATCAATCGAATTATATGAATTCCAAACAAAAAGAAATTAGAAAATTCAGCAAAGAGTCAGAAACTCACTAAAATAAGTAAGAAAATACCAAAACGAGAATGAAAAAATTTATAGACGGAAGAAGAAATGAAGCACACTATGACCAGCAAACAACCATTAGATAGCTGATAGTGGGGGCATAAAGAACCCTCAGATAGCTGATAGTGAGCATAAAGAACCCTCAGATAGCTGATAGTGGGCATAAAGAACCCTCAGATAGCTGATAGTGGGCATAAAGAACACTCAGATAGCTGATAGTGGGCATAACGAACCATTAGATAGCTGATAGTGGGCATAAAGAACCCTTAGATAGTTGATAGTGGGCATTACGCAGCAAAGAACAAAACACCCTCAGATAGCTGATAGTGGGCAAAGCGAACCCTCAGATAACTGATAGTGGGCATAACAAACTCTTAGATAGCTGATAGTGGTCATAACGAACCCTCAGATAGATGATAGTGGGCATAACGAATCTTTAGAAAGCTGCATTCTGGTACAGGACTGTGTGAATGTTCGCCAACGTCGCCAACGTCGCCAACATTTACGAAATCATTACTATTCGCCAACGTCGCCAACATTTACGAAATCATTACTATTCGCCAACGTCGCCAACATTTACGAAATCATTACTGTTCACCAACGTCGCCAACGTCGCCAACCTTTATGAAATCAATACTGTTCGCCAACGTCGCCAACGTTGCCAACCTTTATTCTATTATATTCACTATCAGCTATCTAATGGTTCGTTATGCCCACTATCAGCTATCTATGGGTTTTTTATGTCCACTATCAGCTATCTAAGGGTTCTTTATGCCCATTTTCAGCTAGCTAAGGGTTCCTTATGCCCAATATTAGCTATCTAGGGGTTTGCTATGCCCACTATCAGCTATCTGAGGGTTCGTTATGCCCACTTTTAGCTATCTAGGGGTTCGTTATTCCCACTATCAGCTATCTGAGGGTTCGTTATGCTCACTTTTAGCTATCAAGGGGTTAGTTATTCCCACTATCAGCTATCTGAGGGTTCTTTATGTCCACTATCAGCTATCTGAGGGTTCTTTATGCCCACTTTCAGCTATCTGAGGGTTCTTTATGCTCACTATCAGCTATCTGAGGGTTCTTTATGCCCCCACTATCAGCTATCTAATGGTTGTTTGCTGGTCATAGTGTGCTTCATTTCTTCTTCCGTCTATAAATTTTTTCATTCTCGTTTTGGTATTTTCTTACTTATTTTAGTGAGTTTCTGACTCTTTGCTGAATTTTCTAATTTCTTTTTGTTTGGAATTCATATAATTCGATTGATTTTACATCTCCAGCGCTAGACTTTACATCTCCAGCGCTTGACTTTACATCTCCAGCGCTGGACTTTACATCTTCAGCGCTGGACTTTACATCTCCAGCGCTAGACTTTACATCTTCAGCGCTTGACTTTACATCTCCAGCGCTAGACTTTAGATCTCCAGCGCTGGACTTTACATCTCCAGCGCTAGATTTTACATCTCCAGCGCTGGACTTTACATCTCCAGCGCTAGACTTTACATCTCTAGCGCTAGACTTTACATCTCCAGCGCTAGACTTTACATCTTCAGCGCTTGACTTTACATCTCCAGCGCTAGAATTTACATCTTCAGCGCTTGATTTTACATCTTCAGCGCTAGACTTTACATCTCCAGCGCTTGATTTTACATCTTCAGCGCTAGACTTTACATCTCCAGCGCTTGACTTTACATCTCCAGCGCTAGACTTTGCATATCTCCAGCGCTAGATTTTACACATCTCCAGCGCTAGACTTTACATCCCAAGCGCTAGACTTTACATCTTCAGCGCTTG